AATAGTCCTAGCCTTAGCCCTACTGTATCAAACCTTTTTTTAAATTTAAAAATAAAAATTAATTACTCAAGAGAAGAGTAAATAACAAAATTATAAAATTCAATTGTCCTTTAATTGATTACGATTAGAATTTATAATTTTAAAACGTAAATAATAGAGAATTTCTTGTAAAACGTGGTAAACTTTACAACCTGATTCATGATCAATAATAAAATTTAAAAAAACAAAAAAATCAGAAATGTAAAATAAGATTAAAATACACTATTGATATAAGAAAGTTTCAAAAAATAGCTATAACAGCACCCTACTGTAAGTTTTGCAAAGCCATAAAAATCATAAAAGAAAAAAATATTAAAAAAGCAATTAAAAATTGTTAAAATTTCCATTTTTAGACAAACCGTCGTGTTACAAAAAATGTCGTTGAAAATTGATCGGAAATCAGTTACTATCAATACTCAAATTAAAATGATAAGAAACAAATTTTAAATGCTTGCTACAACAAATGAAACAAGACTTTTTGAAAAAAAAATGTTAGGAAAAATGGTTTTTACATAATAAAAGTTTGATACAAATGCTATGGGTTTACAGGGCCAAACGGATCGTCGTTTTGGCCCGGATAGTAAAAAGGAAGATAAGTAAAGTAAGGCAAGGTGAGGTAAGGTAAGGTAGAGGAGAATAGAGTAAGGCAGAATGGGAAAAGGTAGAATAGGGTAGCGTACAGTAGAGTAAATTAAGGTGGGTAGGAAAAAGTGGAATAGAACAGGGTAGGACAGGGCCAAGTAGAATAAGGTAGGGTGAGGTAGAGTAGATTAAAGTAGGGTAAGATAGGGCAAAGTAGGGTATGGCAGAATAGACTACAGTATACGAGATGTTAGCTAAGCCACTCAAAGTGCGATAAAAACCATGTTTATATGCCCTTTCTAAACCCACATTACCCTATACACACAAAAAACTGTTAATCAACTCAATCACCCATGCCAAATTGTAAATCACACCTTATTCTGTAAAACAACATTACTACATATGCTTTCTTTTTGCTATTTATTTATGTTTTCTTTGTCTGATCTGGTACAAGCTTCTTATGAAAAAAATCCGTTATATCAACAACAACAAACATATTTATATTAAGTTGTTCACATAATTCTGTGCCCTACCTCCAAGCAAACTTTTAAAAAATTTATATTTGTATACTGTACTCATTTTTTATCTCTTTTACTACACAGAAAGTCTCAAATTTTTTAGAGAAACTAAACGTTCAAACTACATTCTGATGCCTATAAATGTCATGTTTACGTATATCAAAGACGGCTTAATTTTGAATACTTTCGAATACTTGAACTCAATTAATACAGACATTCAGTTGAAAAATGTTTTTTATACAGATGAAAGTGCAAAATGTATTGAAAAATGTTTAGAGAGTACCCATAACTGTGTCTAAAAGTACGTTATTTATACCCTACTCTGTCCTACCATACTCTACTTACTCCTAAAATACAATATCCTGCCCTACCCTGCCCAGCCCAGCCCTACCACACCATACCATACCCTACACTATTCTGTCCTGCAATGCCCTACCCTACCCTAAAAACCTACCGTACTCCTCCCTATTCTACCACCCTGCGTCCTACTATCCTGCCTTGCTCTACTCTATAATTACTATTTAAAACCTTAAAGACAAACCTACCCTACCATATAGGCATAAAACGTCACTTTAAAAAAATTTTAAAACCCAAATTTTTCCCATAAAGACTCAATTACAAAACGCGTGTAAACCACACCGTTTATAGTGAAAATCGAAGAACAGAACGTTGGAACGTTCTTTAATTAAAAGACATTTAACCGTGAATAGATCAATGAAATTTGTTGGAATACCAATGACAATAAAGAGTTGAGTAATTGAGAACAAACTCTACAATACAGTTTTATTGTGCTTTTAAACTATTTTCAATGATTTCATAACAAAAATCTACTACAATGTAAAAGATAACAGCTAAAAAATCAAAAATAATGAAGAATGTTCTATAGTAAAGCAAAAATGTATAAAATGTAGCCTTTTATACTAAAATCAAGATTATAGATCACTATTATGACACAAAACTTTACAAATGATCACTTGGATACATCATTTTACTGTAATACCATTTTATGACAAAGTAATCTAACTCCGCCTGATTTTGATCAAGTTAATTTACACTGTAAAGTATTCTTCTTAATTCTGCAAAAGAATGAATGTTTCATGCGCTAACCACAACGCTAGCCCTAGCCTAACTTTAACCCCTAGCCTACACTCCAGCCATAGCCTTACCCTAATCCTAAACCATAGCCTTAGTCTTAGCTTAAAACTTAACCTAAGTCCTAGCCGAAGTCCGAGCAATAGTCCTAGACAAAGTCCTACTCTAAGCCCTAGGCTTAATCTTTAGTCTAAGCCCTAACCTCAGAGCCAGTTCTAGCCCTAGTAGCCCTTCTCTACCTCAGCCTTATGATCAACTAAAAAAAATAATTTGACCAAACAAATACCAAAAACGTCTACTACAATGCAAAAAATGTAAAAATAAATAAGACCTGAAGAAAACATGTCAATGTTTATATGAATACGCACTCAGCTACTTAATATTCCATTACCTAAGGGAATAATGAGTGCAAATTATTCTTTAATTCAGCCAAAATCAGAGATCCCTTTCTTCATTTTTGTTGTAACGTTAATCTGTTTTCGTAAGCTTTTTGCAACTTTAGAATTTGAAATCATCCGAAATAATCGAAAAAGCACAAAGGTTACAATATTCATTTTTAGAATGTTTAATTTCCGGATTTAAATCTTCTAAAGCAAAAAAATTAAAGCATTTGTCTATTTCTGCCATATTTAGTCCAACACAAATCATATGTTTAACCTAGAGTAGGGTAAGGCATGCTAAGACTAAAACTAAGATCAATGATATAGCATAAACTAAAGTTTAAGCTTAGAATAGAACTTAGGGTAAAGCATAGACTAGGGTTTAGATTACGAGTTTGGCTGAGGCTTATGTAGGGCTTAGGATAAGACTTAAACTAAGGTTTAGCTTAGCCTAGGACTTAAGCTTATGTTAAAACTTAAGCTAGCGCTCAAGCTAACGCGTAGGCTAAAAAAAACAAAATTTTTGAAAAAAAGAAGCAAAATGGTCCGAGAACTGATCTCTGTCAACAAAGTTTTATCACAGAAATCAAAATATCAGCGGCGATAAAATCAGATGGACTGATCTTGGGTTTCGAGCGAGAAGAGAACAGCCACTTCAGCAATACGATAGATCTTCGACTAGAGTTCAAATATAATCGATAAAAATTTCAAAACTTTTAAGAAAAAAATTTTAATTAAAAAATTGTGTTCTAGACCTTCAAACCACCATACCATACGATACCACACCCAACCCAAGCCAACACTACGCTTCCCTTGCACTGCCCTGCCATACCCTATCCTGCCCTGCCTTTTTTTTGCATTGTCTTACGTTGCCTTAGCCTGCCCAGCCCAGACCTACCCTGGCTGTTCTACCCAGCCATACCATCCCCAAAATTTAAAATTTGCAAAAAACGCTGCTGTTTTACGAAAGTGATCAATGATTTCAAGATCCATTTTAAAAAAAGTAAAAAACGTTGTTCGCACGTTGATATTGTTGACATAGCTATAACACTTTATTACGTCAAAACATTACTCACAAATCATTTAAAAAAGCTATGGCACAGTAAAACATACTAAAAAATCGTTTGTGTTAAATCTTACAGTAAGTTTTGTCAACTTTATGTTCTGTGATAATTTTTTTCTTGACAAAATAAATATATTTCGGTCATTGGTAATTTTAAAACTAATTTTTGTTGTTAGAAATAGCAATAAAAGTCCAAGTGTGCATTGTAAAAAATTATTCAATAATAAAAAGCCATTGAAATCACTAAAGTTCGAATTTAAAATGACGAGAGACATGTGACTGTGATGCATTGATAAGTTAATTCAAACTATTTTTAAATATGAATTTGTTTAATTTTTTTCATATTTATAAAATACTGTACTTATAATTAGTCTCACGTGATCAATTTTAGTCAAAATGGCAAGTAAAAAGTTTTTTTTTGTTAACAGGTATAAGTTGTCAATTTTGTTTCAAAAAAATTTTGTGAGAAAAACTTACCCCTTCCCAGAAAAAACCTCCCCTCTCCCTCGTTCACCCCTGTCCACAAAAAACCTAATAAAAAGTTCTTGTTAATTAGTCACCAGCCAATTATTATAGCATAAACAGTTGACCCCACGCCTTGTTTGCAAACTCGTTGTAAAACCGCGTGTTCGTGCACATCTTCTAGAAATAATCTTCGAAGCGCAAACAATAACTTGAACTTTGGTTTTGCTTATTCATAGATCACCAGCAGTTATGAGGTTTTGAGCGAATAAATATTGTAACTTATTTTACAATGTAAAATAATTTTCATAATAACAAGATTAATAAAATTTCTGCTTACGAATATATCGTATCATATACCAATTGTACATCGCCCTACTCTATCAATCCTACCCTGCCTTACCCTACTATACTCTCTTTTCTTTACTCTAATTTATAATAGCTAATTTACCTTATCCTGCATGTCAATTTAAAAAAAAATTTAAAGAGCGATCTATCCTTCCCTAACATACAAAAATAAACTTACTTGTAGGTACAAAATTGCTTCGCTTCACCAAAATAGTCTTCATTATCCATCAACATGAATCTACAGGATCCAATGATTTTCTCCAGCCTGACATTCCTGGTTCAAGAACGACGTCTTCAAGCGAGGCTAATTGAAAAGAAAAGCTGCTCCAAGAATAACATTTAAAAAAATTACGTTTATTGCATTCACAAAATTACCCCGCTCAAAAAATAGTACTATTCAAAGTCTCAACAATTTAAAGCTAAAAAAGCATGCCAAACATAAGAGACCACTTTATTCATCCAACGACACACAAATCATATTTTATACAAAGTCCGAGGAATAAATTAGAGTTGAGTTCATCCGAGGAGGGGTACCACCAAAAGTGGGACCACCTCGTTGTTGCCGAACGCCTTCTTGGGTTGTTCGGCGTCGGGCGCAACTTTGGTCAACAAAAAGACCATCTTGTCAATTTTGCTGGCCCCATTTTGGCGGACAACGTCGACCGCTTGCTCCGAGTTGGGTGGGATGAAGCCATAAACCGGGTTGACGCGGTACAAGTTGTTGTCCGAGCACTTGATCTTGAAGGCCACCTTATAAGAGTTGGGGTTTGTCAAAGTCAGCTTCTTCAAGCCGCCGGTCGAGGGAAAACGAAGCTCGTGAGGATCCGAGGTAATGAGGCGCGCAGACTCAATGAAGGATTCGCGTGGAGCCACGTTCTTCATCGACTGAAAATTTTGAACTTTAATAAAGCCCGAAACATTTAAATTTAATAAATTTTTTTTAATTTAAAATTTTTTTTATAATTTACCCTTAAAAAAGCCAAAAATTTCACGTTATCCACCCCGAAAAAAAACTCAAAAGTAATAACCGAGAAACCCCAAGTATAACCCACCTCATCCTTGTAGGCATCAGACTGAGCGACATCGCGAACTGCTTGAACACCGACCTTTGGCACGTCCGATGGTCGTTGGATGCGCTTGGAGCAGCTAGATTTCTTGCCCTTGCGTCCTGCCTCCTTCGACTTGCCAGATCTGCTGGACTTGCTCGACTTTAAAGATTTGGACGATTTGCTACTCTAAAATTGAAAAAAATTAATTTTTCAAAATTATTACACCTATTCAAGGTTTTCATCTAAAAAATCAGAAAAAAATTGCCAAAATAGCAAAAAAACTTACCCAAAAATAAAAAAAACGCCGACCAATTTTGCAAATTTTTAACATATTTTCCAATATCCAAAAATTAAATTTTTCATTTTTTGAAAATTTAATGTAAAAAACCAGTTGTTCCTTCAAAATAGACATTTTACTCATTTTCAGTTGCGAAATCAACAAAAATCAGTCGTTTTACAGCCAGAATTTGTTGATTGCTTAGAATCAAAAATCAGCGAAACAGGCCCTTACATTCCCTAAGCTATTTAAAAGCTAGGCCACTCATCTGTTTTTACTATATTTTTTTTAAATCAGTCTTCAAAAGCGTTACCTATATTTTCAAGATTAGCATGTTTTTAAAATTTTTAACCAAAAAGCTAAAAACTAAAATATTGAAACTTAAAAACCACCTTTAAAACAACCCCAAAACCATAGTCAATATAACCGCATCCTCAATGTTACCCGACTCACCTTCTTTTCCTTTTTGCCGCGCTTGGAGCTCTTGTCGGACTTTCCAGATCTGGAGGACTTGCCCGATTTGCTGGACTTTTTGGATTTGCCCGTCTTCCTGGACTTGCCCGATTTTCCACTCCTCTTACTCTTGCGCTTCGGCTGATCGCGGGATTTGCCGCACTGAGCGAGGGCGTACGCCATTCCACCCAACATCAGGGCACCGTTCAACGCCGCTGGCACGATGGCTTGCAGAAACTCCTCGTCCATAACACTGAGCATCGTGAGAGCAGAAGAAAGTGTCACCGACCGCTTTCCGAAACAATCCGACCAACAATTGAAGGGTTGTCGCAACTGATAAAAATTGGGAATCGTCTTGCAAAACCTTGGAGAGAACGAACTTATTTGCATAATTCTTCAGTTTTTCAAAAATATGCAAAAAAAAACATTTTTGAAGTTAAAAAAATTAAAGTTTGTAAAAGATAACAGTAGTCTCTTGCTATAGGCAACCTTCAGAGACAGAAAACGCATAATTGATACCTAAAATTAAGAAACACTAACAAATCTACTTACAAAGAATTATGCTTCTTCACATCTTATTTTAGAATCGTTTCCGTCAAGTTGTCGTTGAAAACACATCGCCAAAATCTCCATTTACACCAAGACCCATTCTTAATATTTTCCATTATAACATCAAGATGCCTAAAATAAGTATTAGATGTCCGTAAACTTTTTATGCCAATTTTTCTAAAAGTTATCAAAATTAGGGGTGAGAAAAGGGCCGGGCCCACTTTCTAGGCCCGGCCCGTTTTAAAAAATTTTAAAACTTAAAAAATAAACGGAAATTTGGCTTTGCATTGTTCTTTTAGATCATTTATGTATCATGGTACCCAATAAAATCAAAAAACATAAACGGGGATTAAAATAAAAAAATTTTAAAAATTTAAAAAATTTTTTTTCGGGCCCGTGCCCAATTTTCAAGCCCTGGCCTAACCTTTGGGCCCGGCCCGTTTCAATTTTAGCTCAAGGCCGAGGGCCGGGCCTAGACGGCCCGTTTCTCACCCCTAATCAAAATAGAAAGACAACTTACCTTTCAGTTCACAAACCCTGAACTCAATCAGCTTATGTTGCTTCTTCAGCTTAATTTTATCGTTCATTTTACTCAATACAAAAAGAAATCAGTTACATAACCTTGAAACTACATTGCAATGCATTGTAGTTGTTGAATAATTCAACATAAATCCGTTTTGGTTTGATTGAAGAAGGATAAAAGAAAATATTTCCAAAAATTGCGGCATTTCGTCTAGAAAATGCGTCAACAAAACAAAATTTTGTCTGCTCGAAGAATAATTAACGTTTAACAGTTACTACAAAACAAATGTAACATAAAATCTTTTTTACTGATTAATTTTTAAAAAATTAAAAATTTTTAAAAATTCTTAAAAAAGCCGATTCAAAATAAAAATTTATCTTATTTAAAGTTATGACAACATAAACGAGTAATATAATATTTCATTATGTAAATATACATGAGCATTCGTTACGCGCTTCCGAATACGGAAGAGCTGATAATTGTTATGAAAAAAGACCGATATAAAATACGGAATATATGAAAAAGAACGGGGGCTAGAACAGTCAACTCAGCCGGAAAATTATGCGAATAATGTTAGGTTTGAGTAGGGATGGACAAGGTTTGAAGGTTTTTCAATTTAAAATAAAAAAATAATTAAAATTACTACTTTATAGGCTTTAAAATTTGAAAAAATCCAAACTTTTCACTCTACCGGCTATGAAATTTAAAAAAATTTAAAGTTTCGAAAGTTCAAGTTTTAAATATCAAAACCTTCAAATATAAAAATTTAGACATTATACACCTTTAAAGTTAAAAAAGTTAAAAATTTAAACATTAAACACCTTTGAAATTGAAAATTTAAAAAATTTAGACATTGAACACCATCAGAAAACCCGTTCCGAAGCGAGGCTAAAGCGTGCAATGTGTTAGGCTTAAGTATGCGTTGTGTCGGGACGTTGTTCTTCTTCGGCTTCATCGTCGTCCAGAATCACATCACTGAAAAGAAAAAGTCAACATTAACTCTTTTAAGTCATTTTATGACAAAAATAGTGCCTGATAATCGTTTCAATAGCAAAATCACAAAAATCCTCAAACATTATTAGTCTAATTTTAAATTTTTTATTAAAACTTCAAAAAATTTAAACTCAATAACTTACATATTCTCATCAGCATAGCTTTCCTCCGTTTCACTCATCAGGATTTCGTATTCCATTGCACAGTATTGGTCCCAATCGGAAAGTTCTTTGTCTCCGGAGGTCTAAAACGAAATCTTTTAAAACTTTCAATAAGGAAGACAAAACAATAAACTTTTTATACAAAAAAACTAAATCATAAACCTAGTTTTATTTTATATAATCCAGAAATTCACAAACCATTCGTTTCCGGTAATTTACACCCCATTCTCCGATTAAAAGCATAAATTTTAACATGGATAAGATCGAATTTAATCAAAAACCTCAAAATCTCACCTTAACTGAAGCCCTCTCGCCTTCTGAAGACTCTTGTTCCAAGTACTTCAAATAGTTGACAAAGGTGTTAAAGAAGCGATGAGCTAGTCCACATTGTTTCAACTCTCTCAGTGTTACACAGCCTGTGGTTGATGGTGCAATTGAATCAAACAACTAAAAAAGTAAATTTACTATTATGATTATAATACTATATTTGTCGTACTAAGACTTTAAATTTTATCCAAAATATTTTTTTATATTGCAATAAACGAAAATAATACGTCATATTTGATTAAAACTTCAAAAATCTCCAATAAATGCCATTTTTTTCAATCAAAACTCACATTACAAGCGACGTCTTTAAATGACAATGTGTCAAAGTTGTGCTGAGTCAATTTCCTCTCAATCTCGCGGTAGAAGTACTCCATTTCGTACAGCGACAACACTCCATCGCCGTCCAAATCCAGAATCCGGAACCAATATTCCTGGCTGGTCGGGTGTTTCTTGTCTTCTTCGGCCAACAAGAAGGCTACAAAGTCTTCAAAGCCAATCGTCTCTAACGCTTGATCTCTGCATGGGCCTTTGCCTTTGTATGTTCGACATTCTGGCGCTGTTCGTACTACTGCACCACTGAATACTCGATCTATGACAACGTCGGGGATGGCCCCGGAACAGTGGTTTTTCATGTCTTCGCGACTGATCACCATGTCGTGGTCTTGGTCCAATTCCCAGAACTTGCAGTAGACCACGTAGAAGTGTTCGTAGCTAAAGTAGTCGGTAATCTTGTTGATGTCGCTGGTGGTCTCCAGCATTTTCAGCGTTGGTAAGAAATCTGATTTCCTGAGTTCGAAGGGGGTAATTCGGCCAGACCATGATCGGTTCACGTTCCAGAAGATACGCACAATCACAACTTCACAGTATTTCGAATGGAATTGTGTTGAATTGACAAGGAAATTGAGGCCGGGGTAAGTGTAGATGACGTCCATCAACATGCTCATAAAGTCTGACTTTATCAGGTATTGGCGAGGTTTTCTTTCGCCCGTAGCGGCCGCAGCTAATGTGTAGATGAAGCGAGAAGCGTCGTCATGATTCTCTAATGTCATGAGTTGCCAGTAGGTTTGGAATTGACTGAAGGTGAGAGCGGGGGTAGTGTCTGGTACCAACTTTTGCCCACTTAACCTAACACAAGCTTCGTAGATGGGTCGTTTCGCGTAGACGGCCATGTCGATGGCTTCACAGAGCTTGTCCATGTCTTTGTACTCAAGAACTTGTTGAGGTTGTGAGTGGAACAGTTGTCGTACGGTTTCTCTGACCGCATCGTTCTTTGGTTGTGGTACTGGTTGGCCACCGGGGAAGTGGAACCGTGCCACATTCGAGTATCGACCAGCAAAGGATGGCTTCTGTGTTGATGGTTTCAGGACATCTGGTTTTGATGGTTTTGGTGCTGGTAGTACAGATGGGGCTTCGTTTTTGATTGGTGAGAGTTTTAGAGAGGAAAAGTCGAGGGTTTTGTTGGGTGAGAAGGATGTGTTGTTGGACTCATTCAGGTTGGCCGAGCGGAACGAGTCCGTTAAGGGCTCCCGCTTCTGAGGTGTTGAAGTAATGTCCGGCTTCTGAGGTGAGAAGGGTTTTGTGTCCGTAGACCTGAAAATACTTTCTTCATATCAAAAATAATATTTTAACACAAATTTACAATAAAAATGCCGCTTTATTACCTTTTTCCTTTAAAAAATGCCTTTTAACACTGTTCCTTAAGCCTACAGTAAAAAATTTACTAAAAACTTGCAAAATTTTCTATTTTTTTTTTAAAAATGTTAAATGTTTTGATATTACGTTGTTATCTTTTTCATTTTTTGTGTTTTCCAAGACGGCCGGTAATCTACAGTCTTGGCAGGATTATACCTAGACTTTCAAAATCTTCATTTTGTAACTTTTAATTAGAAATAACTAGAGATCACAGTGTACTAATGCTATAAAACTTTCAAAAACTTCATTTTTGACCTAATTTTATGTGAAAATTATAAGAAAAAATTGAAATTTTGAAAAAAATTTCAAAAATTCAAAAAAATTTTTTTTGGAAACTAACGCAAACCATTTATTAATACTAACCCAAACCCCAAAAACTGAAATTTCCAAAAAAACCTCAAAATCTTTAAAAAAATCCACGAAATTCGTTCGAAGCCCTCCAAAACCCGTACCAAAACCATAAACACTATAAAACGCTCAAGTGTGCCAAAACAAATGCAATAAATATTGGCTAGGGGCACTTACGTGAAAGTGGGTTTCGTGTCCGCTGCGAAGGTCGCGAGTTTGGCCACGTTCTCCTGGGACAGCCGCGACAACGGGCTGGCCTCGTTGGCGTCGTCGCCGCGCCATTTCGGCGAAAATGCGCCCAAATCGTTCTGCAAATGATTGAGTTGATTATGATAGTATATACTATGGTAATGTCATATGATTTGACGTAGAAACCAAAAATTTATTTTTGAAAACTTCAAAATAAAAAAAAATTTTTTAATTCTTTTTGAAAAATCCATAAAATGCTTTAATTTCTTTGAAAATAAATAATGTATTACAGTTTCTACTGTAGTAAAGTTAACTTTACTTGCCAGAGTTAATGTTTTTACAACCTATTTCCTGTGAAAATTATTAATTTTCGTCTTTACGTTAATTGCTTTGGGGAAAACAATTATAAAAATTGAGAAAATAAACAATATTTGCTAATTGAATAATTGGAAAATATTTGAATTTGTCTGTGTTACCCGAGTATAACATTTTTTAAAATATATTTTAAATTTCTCTTGCTTTTTATAAGCAAAAACCAAAAAAAAATCGCTTCAATTTCTCAAAAAAAGGTCATTTTTAAAATTCAAAATGAACTAATAAAAATATTTCCAAAGATTTCTTTTTTCAAAATTAAAAAAAAACAAGCTTTTATACTAATATTAAACATACGAAAAGACAAATGATCCCTAAGAAGACCAGACAAACCTTATCCTCAATCTCTTCTGCTTCTTCTGACTCCGTTTCCCATTCCTCTTCGTCCTCGTACTCACTCTCATCCTCATACTCACTTTCCTCCTCATATTCCTCATCCTTTTCTTCTTCCTCCTCTTCTTCTGCTTCTACTTCAGTCTTCCTGGTTCCAAAACCCATCGACCTCATTCGTCGTCGAAGCGAGTTCGACAGAATTGGTGGACTATAAATCCCATTTGCATATGGGGATGGGGACTTTTCTCGGTTGAGGAATGAGGAGGGTGCTGGTGAATGACGTGAAGTGAGGATGTTTGAGGAGAGCGAGGACACGCTGGTCGGAGTCAAATAACTGTTGGACCCATATGATAATTGAGACGGTTTTTTATTACATAAATGGCGGACGGAGATGAACGACGGCGTGGTTCGAGAGTAACTTTCTTTGGGCAAATAAGAGCTCGAATCGTAAGAGTCTTTAGAATACGAGTTTGGGTTAGAGCTATAGGTTTCTTTAGAGGAATATGAGCTCGAACTAGAGCTGTAGGGTTCTTTAGAAGAATATGACTTCGTATTAGAGCTATATGAACTCGAAGGCTTGTACGAGCTAGAAGTATCTTTATACGTGCTCAAACTTTCTTTATACGAACTAGACCCGACGTTATAAGAGCCTAATGAATTATTGGATCCATTGTATGTTTTAGAGTACAAACTTGATCCACGGTTCGAACCATAGCTCTTACTACCGGAGTAAGAATCAGCTTTTGAATAACCATTATTAGAACTTTTAGAATAACTCGTTCCATTAGATTCAGAATAACTTTTAGAGGAATATGAAGACCCGTAGCGACTAGTTGAGATCTTGGGTAAAGTGAGGTTTTTGAAATCTGAAGATCCTGAAGAAGACGCCAGGATGTCAGGGTTAGGAACCCAGTCCGTTAACAGGGCTACAACCATCACATGCCTTACGTAATGGGGGTTTTGTTGATCATTGGCTTTAGTAGATCAAAGCCAATGAAGTATAAAGTTTGAAGAATGTTCAGTATAACTATCCTTTAAAGATTCTAGTAGAAATCAAAAATAAATGGATGAGTAATAGCTTCAAAAACTTAAAAATAGCTTTGAAAACTCAAAAAATGCGGACTAAAACAGCTTTTTAGATAAGAACGCCTAATAACATCCAAGAATATTAGGCTTAAAAAGTCTTTTCGACAATAATAAAGTATAGAAAAACCTAAGTTTAGGTATAATTAGTGTATAAATCTACCAATATTTAGATAGAAACCTCCGCACTGATCCCAACTGCACGTTAGCTCAACGATCAAAGTGCGAAACAAAAAATAATTGACGAAAAGAATAAGCCGAAAAGTCGTGGCAAATAAAGATTAACAAAAAACCTTTTTTCCACGGATATCTCCAAGATCGATGGCATTTCGGCCACGTACCTCACACACACACAACAGGCCCTCCGGCCAGCGAGACGATGTGTTATGAGAGAGTTCGATTCAATTGAGAAACACAAGTTTTTGAGAGGAATTGTCATAGAATAGATATGATGAAGAAGCATATAGTGATAAAGAAAAGACTATCCTTAAGCCAACAATGATAGAGAACACTAACTTATCAGACTCATAATGACAAAGAGAAAAATAATTAAAGGAACTCGTATTAACAGTGAGTAGTGGTGAAGATAAACTTATGAGAGTCCCACATACAGACAGAGTTGAGTTCGCTGATTAGAGAGCCGGCTTCTCGTGATAAGAGACAGGAAGCGTGGGAGAGAACCACGGACAAGCAAAAAAAATCAGTGAGCCAGTAGGATTTTTATTCAATCACTATAACGTCTAGAGGGCTCGTTATCGTGCCTTTCCGGTTCGAACACTGTGCTAACACTTTTTAAAAACGATATGACAAATACGTTTTGAGGACTAGAGACCACCCAAACTGTGGGACCGACAAATTGCTCTTGCAAAAATGAGGTTTAATTGCAAAATTTAAATACTCAAACAATGGCTTCAAAAGTCGATAGGCTATTAAAGAGCAAAAAACTATAAGTCAAGATTTAAAAACGATAATAAAATTTTAAAAACGATCGAAATTACAAAAAAATAATTACCTGTGTCAAGTTGTTTGCATTTAAATTAGTATCAGACTTCGAAGCTTTTTTAACCGACGAAGGATTAATCATTAACCTCATCATTGATCCAAATATTACACTCAACGATCTTCGTCGTCTTTTCCTGACAATCGGAGGTTTGGCCGTCACATTTGACACTCCAGAATGGCTGTCTTCGGAACCTGACGAAGAGCCAAGCCCTGAATCCGTCGATGAATTCCCAGTCTTTGAACTTGAAATTTTCCTGTAGGAATCATCACTCGGTCGATCACGCCTTTGTCGTTTTCTCACTGACGCTGGCGACCTAAAGGCGGCCCATGCTAGCGATGTGCAATCACAATTTGTCGCGTCCATTGCTGGTACTATCGTACCGGTAGAGGTGACAGACATTGCCGACCACCTTCGCATTGAGTCGGTCATTCGAGTTGGACTAGGTCTGAGGGTTGGGCGCAGCATGTGGTCGGGTTCGGTGATTTGTACCACACGTGGAGTCATCCGCGGCCACGCTATGTCGGGATTTGGGGTTGCGGGCGAGACTAGCGCCGAATTCAGACTGTGCGAAGAGGTGGAGTCTATGGAGGAGGAGGTAGACGCTTCGCAGCTGCATTCGGAAAGCATTGGCTGTAGGATTTCATCCTCCTTATCAGTCTCCATGACAGGAAACCGGTGAGCGCCTTTGGAAAATCCATTTAGTGCGAGGCTCGAAGGTTTGGTTGGCAACGTACAGTCAAGTAGGTCTTCCACGGATTCTGTCAACCCGCTAACACCAGCATCCTCGTGTTGCGAGTCCTCCGAGTCGGAGTAGCGATTGGCAGTGTCGCGCCATTTTTGAGCCAAAGTTGTGGTTGAGGAGGTTACAAAAGTCATTTTTGTATTGCTTTTACCGAGTCCACATATTATTTACGACGGTCAGTAATAAAAAACGATAAATTTTGTCTGAAAGTTTGGAATTCGATAGTGTGGGAAATTCAAAATTACTCGTGAAAACGCGGTATTCAAAACAAGACTATGTTAAAACTAATAAAAAATTACAAAGATTAAGAACCAGGCACACGTCTGGTAGATAAAAAGGCAAAATTAAGATATAAAAAAGTCATAAAAAAGTTTTTAAAAAATTCAATAAATTTCAAAAAAATTTATTGAAATAAAGCATTAAAAACTCTCAATTCAAACGAAGCAAATCCCAAAAGAAACAAAACCAAGCTGAAAAAGTCGAATGACCTGCAATAATAAATCGAAATTGGAATCGCAAATTTGCGGGCTAACGGTGAGACGCCGGAAGACGAGAATCTCAAACCAAAATCCGAGCGAATTGTGCGCTCGAATAGCTCTCTTGATCAACGGCGGGTTTGATGGGATCAGAGACGACGAAGAAGCGAACCTCAGGCGGTCAAAACCCCTCAACCACCTCGTCGAAACCGCCTCACAAAACACGTTGGGGGTATCAATTCGCAGAAACCGATCACGTTAAAAATAAGGGTATTTTGAGAAGGGAATCGAAGAGCGAGATGAATTGACTGTTTCAGAAAACTAATTTAACTATTTAATATCAAAGCCTAGTTAGTTTAGAGCCAAACACAAACTAGATAACAGTAAACCTAATTTTTGGACCAAAGGCAATAGTACTCCTTCTGAACCTAAAGCCAAGCCAAGCTAATAATACGCTTAACACCTAGGACAAGCGTGCTTAGCATGCCGAATGTTAAAACCAAGCCTAGCTAATAGTACCCATAAAGTCCAATATACATTAAAACCTGTTTGTCCTAATAAAAACCTAAACCTAGCTAATCAGAACCCCATTTAAACTAAAAATTGCCGCTGGCTATATATGCCCAAAAATTTAAATAGACAACTCCAAAGTATACAACCCAAAACCTTTGACGTCAGCCAAAAAGTAACAAACCCCTGCTCAAAACAATAGGCTTGAAGCGCTTCGCTAACCGGATATTAAACGGCGGCCAAAATTAAATAATCCGTCATTCTACGCCGGAAGAGGGACCGAAAAAAAGAAACACTGATAAAGGCTCGGAGCCAACCACCTACAACAGGTGTCTCAACTGAATCGTGCCCTTCGCCAATTTGACCCGAAAATGATTTTTAATTTGCGTTTTTATCACGGCTTTCTCAATCAATGGTTTGGAAAAGGAACGGTTGAAAAGTCGTGCTATTTTTAAGCGGCAAAAAAAATTTTTTCAGCTGGCTATAATTACCCTATTGTAAGATCATTTTTACACATTTACTGTCATTTTTTTAGCTTTCAATCAATCACAAATTAAAAAACGTTTAGAAAAATAGATTTTTTTTTCTAAATTCAGTACCACAATCGTCAATAAAAAATTTAGCCAAATTTTCAAAAAGCCAGTACGTCAGATAAAAAAAAACTTTGCGTACTAAACTACACGCCTAGAATAATTCAGCAACCAAATCCACAATGTGTTTACAGATTAAAGTGTCTTCAAACAGTCGTATCAAGAGACCCGGTATCCCAACTAATCTTCCAGATTTGTGGACCCATTTTAATAACCGTGGGGTATAATCCCTCCACCTAACTTGAGTTGTTGAGGGCTATTTTCGAATCCGAAAGAACCTAATCGGTCGAACGTTTTCTGAACCTCCCACATAGGCAAGGAAAAAATTTTTAATTATTAATGCAACCGTGGTTAACTAAACAGACATGCAATGTACAAATCGTTCGAGTACGATTAGTGCATTGTAGTGAGAATTATTAGTTTTAGAAAAGTGCGCAGGTTTTTAAATCTTAAAAAATAAAAAATATAGTACTAAATTCTGAACACATATTAATAATTACGTTTGCCTTCTGAACTCTAATCACAAATTCACCGTTAACCTTCTGAATCCTAAACTATGATTAAACTTGCAAGTGCTGAATTGTATATTGATAAAGCTTGCATAACCCCATCCCCTGAGTTCTACCTCCTTAACAACAATAAAACTTGCAAAAGTACGACTCCAGCACTAATTAAATCTCCATTACAAACGAAAACTCTAGCATTAAATGTGCTTTGCAAGAAAACCGATATCAAAAAGAATATCTTGCTCATGTTACAGATCAAAAACAAACCTTGAAAAAAATCTTCACGCAGTTTACGTAAAAATCGGAAAAGAAGTGTGGGGAAGTATGAAAAAAGAGAAACGGTTAAAATTAAGCGCGTTTCCTGCACATTAAAGGTGACTAGAGCCGAGGCAATATAACCGCAGCAAAGGTCGTTGCAACGAAACCGGTCGCGTGTATCACAGAAAAAAGTTTTGTAATCCAGTAAGAGAAAGGAGAAAAGGTAGCAATTGAATCAGAAGGAAGATCGCGGGCCGTTAAATTTCAATAGCGGGGGGAAAAGGCCTTCTTCTGGCCGGAACCGCGGCTTCGATTGCGTTTATGACAATTGAATCGCTTATAAAAAATCAGGCGAACATAAAAACATTGATCGCATATAAGACATCAATAGCGTATAAAAAATCAATCGCATATAAAACTCTTTGCAAACCGCTGGCTATAACAGCAAAAAAATTAAAAAGCCGATTATAACATTGCAAAGGGCAATTGTTATAACGATTCAGGGCTCTGAACATGCTTCACTCAATTTTACACGAACTTTACCAAGCCATATGCAAATCTATAGATTCCCAGCCATCTGGACATCAAAGTTTTGCTTTTTCAAAAACGCCATTTAAAAAACCCGCGCCATTGAAAAGCCCCATACCTTTAAAATCTGAAAAAGACCATACCTTAATAATAAAAAAAATAGTTTTCCGACTAAAAAAGCCCGCGCCTTTAAAAATGCGGTTTATTTAGAACGTTCAAATTGTTCACAAAAAGAAAAGAAAGCGCGTTTGAAACTAAGGAATAACTTGAAACGAGATCCTGCTTGAAACTTTCTAATCGCCCGATCAAACCTTCTGATCGCAAACCTCAATGATTTACACGCGAGCTGTCCGGACTCTCGCCAGCTTTATCGTTTTATCCCCCCGGATAAGAGCACCTATTTTTCACGAGATCCAAATAAGGAGACGAAGACGCGTGTATTCCCGACGTCCGGAAGCTTTGCGAAAAACACAAAGTTTCAGGTAAAACGGAAGTAGAAGAAACTCAATGCCGTTGCCGTCGTTCCAAAAACCCCGTGATTTGCATGCACACTATAGAATTAAAGCAGCAAGGATGAAAGCGCATAAAAAGGACATAAATTACAACATAAACGCAGAGCTATATATATAGTAGACTTAAGGGTGTGCGATTCGCTAGAGAATTCAGATTTTCGATTTCACATAAAAATTTAAATTTTAACCCGTATCTATTTTGAAAGAAAAAATACCCATTTCACCCCTATTTAACCCCTGCAGCCAAATTTGATCGAAAAGAATAGAAACCCTGCAACAAATGATAAAAAATTGATGGTCAGCGATATTGATCTTCAAAAGCCCCCCTAAAGACGCAATAGGTCAGCCAAAGGTGAAAAGCAGGATGAGAGGGGCCCGGGTGAGATTGGCGGCATTGTGGACAGCCGCCTGGCTCTTTATCTCCTTTCTTTCATTATATCCACAAAGTCAAGAGGAGCGAAACCCGATCCCGCCAAAGTGTCAGCGTTAAAGCCCGGAGGGATGGAATCACTTGCAACATTAAGATAAAAGTTAAAGCGGAGTGGACGACAGGTGTACTCTTGACTCGAAGAAGCCCTCGGAAGACCCGCAAGCCACGAATTCCGATCGGCCGACAAAAGAGCAAGAAAAATATAAGAGGACAAACTTCCGAGTGGACACACGGGTCGTCGTCTAGTCGCCGCAAAATTTATAGATAGATCAGTTAATTTAAACCCCCGTTTTAAACACTTTTTATGCGTTGTGTCAAGTTCTACTCTAACACTTTGATTACGTTTTTTAGAAATGTCCATAAATAAAAAAAAATTTATTGAAAAATGCCGTGCAATTCAAAAAACTTTTTAACTATTAAAAATCTTTTAAATTTAGAAGGTTGTTTTAAAAGTACGCAAAATTTAAAACAAAATTGAATGCCTTTTGAAATACGTAAAGTAGGTATTAATCATAAATATAATTTCATTACAATAAAAATCAAAAATCGTGTTTGTTACTAAAGATTACCAGCAAAGTACCGACATTGCCAGCAAAATCGGATTAATTGCCCTTATAAGAACATGATATAAACAAGAAAAACACCTACGGTAGAGGGATTTTTAACAGCCGGAAATGCCAAAGTGAAAAACCCACATAGATATAATTTTGAATGGAAAATGAGCCGATTAGGAGACACCTTATGAAGATGAAGAATAGTGAAGAACACAAATTAAGACACGATTAGACATTAGGAAATTTGGAAACAAAAACAGCTTAATGTCTAGCTTATAAACACAGTAGTGACTTCAGTATGCAAACGATACATCGCTGTAAGTGTAAATAAATAATGATTTCTTTCAGTTTAGTTTACCATTACAGACTACACAGTTTACTATTAAAATCCAACATAATTTATTTTTAAGTATACTATGCTATTATTAATTACTATGTTATTAGTAAGTAATAACATATGTAAACATAGTAGTAACTATGTAGAAATAACATAGGACTATGTAGCCTAGAGTAAGCATACCGAGATATGTAGACGCAAAAAGAGCATTTTCATAAATGTAAACAAGGTTATTTGGGATTGTTTTGAGCATATCTAACAAAGGCTGAATGAAAGGTAATGTAGGCAAAAGAGAAGTAATGTAGAACATTGTGTTCATAACAAGAAGTACACATATTGTTTATGTCGTGACGCAGCACATACGAATCCGACAAAAGATCTTGTCGCCAAGTACTGCTGCGTACTAAATTACTTCATTATCTATAGACATCAAAGAGTGAGTACGATTTCAAGAAGAGCACGAATAGGTATATAAGTAGGATTCTCAAGAAAGACCAAAAAGTAACTACGATTACGATTAATTGTAAAAACATCATTTTTTGGATTTTGAAATGATTACAAAAAACCCTGTTTAAAATTTTTAGCCGAAAAATTACAGATTTCTAGCCAAAAACAATTAAAAAAATACAATTTAACCTCAAAATATTAAATTGCCGCAAAATATTTATCACTGACAGTAAAAAACAATATTAAAGTATTTTGACACCTGTTACTTTGGCTTCGACCCGCGCCTGAATAGGGCCATAAACACGATCGGCGCAATTCTCATTTAATTCGAGGGTGTGACCACAACAAGATAAGGTGCTGTTGGTCACTCCCATGTCTGAATCCCGCTTTGATACGAACAAAGGAAGGCTTTGCGCCAAAAAGTAAGAACTACCGCCAGAAGGCTACATAAAGCCCGTTCGTTGTTCAATAAACAACAATTAGCTTAATTAAAAATCCCATATTACTATTGGCGAATACCGTGTAAATGTAGCCTTTTTGAAAAGGAAACAAACATCTTGAAATTCCTTTTCAAATTGCACGTACTCAAAAAATGTTTTTTACTCAATAAGGTTTTTTTTCTCAAACTGCCATTTTACTATTCGAATATACCACATGCTCTCCACTTAAACACCATGTCGTCAACTTGAAACTTTGCAAAAAACCCTATGCATCACTTATAATTTACCGGATTCGCACGCCTAACACGCTTTCCGTGCCAATAACAAACCGCTGTCATTCTGCCATAAAATATTATTTTTTACATAATAAAACCAATCGCATAATCAAAAGAATTCGGAAAAGAACAATGCGGGCGGCCGAACATCGTTTTGGCGGCCGATATGATTCACAAATCATTAGAAATCTCTGAACACAACCCTGCTCCACAAAAGTGTAATGCTTGTTTAGACTTATGGAAAGCTTGGACTCATATTATGATTTTTAGAATCATATTATGATTTTACCAGAAATTTCAAAATTTAATAAAAACTGAAAATTGATGTGATTTTGAAAAATATTTTCAAAGTTTACGTAGATTCGTAAGACTATTTGTAAAATGACGTTAATTCTATATAAAACAAAAAATTTCCCTTACAGTCCCAGGTCCAAAAACCCCCCAAATACGATAGCTAGATGAGTGAGCCGCACCCAAACAATATAAAACAATTTCCTTATAAAACTGAAGTGCGGGAGGAAAGCGATGAACAAAACAGTGCTTAATCCGCGCATAACCGACTTAGAAATTAGCGGCGATTTTGGTGGAGCCGAGAATGAATGTCCTGTAGCAGCTGGACTCATTCGAAAAACAACCCCTCGTCCTCTGGATATTGCGCATCCTTCGGCCCCAAAAACAGAAGGCGCTAAATAAAAGCGGTTGCGTGCCGTAACTGACCTCCGCGTGATGAAGTCAGACAGATAAACAAGGCGCGAAGGGCCGTCGGGCCGCGCGCAAAACTGACCAGCATGATTTCATGCATAAAACTTGGCCAACAACGTGTCTTTTCGAGGTGTGGAAGCCATCGCAATTACTGAAAATTTAAAACAAGGTATAGATGTCCAAGACTATTAAATAGAGAACATTTATACTAAAAAGTCAATAATAATGTATATTTGCTTATTAGTCTTGATATAGATTATTAACTGACGTAAAACATTTCTTCAAAAGTCCAAAGTAAAAACTCAAAATCGCGACAAAATCGCGCAAGAACGAGGAAAAGTTTACAGCGTTCCATCACGCCGAGTAAAACGGCACACTGAACTCTCTAGAGAATACAAAACCCATTTTTAATCTTGTCAAGCTGTGTCCAGTAATCGGCATCAAAAAGTTAAAAACTTCGAGTAACACATCAAAAACGTGATATAGTTCCATGTAAAAGATATATACACGCACGTACTTTTCAATGCGTTTTAATATCTTCAACATGTCACGTTTGTTTAGAACTTTGAACTCTTCATTTGAAATTCAAACTATTATTTGCTTTAGGTAAAAATAGTTTTGCATTATTAAAATTTTTCAAAATAACCAACCGGGCTGTTGCGATCCGGAAATTTGAATATGTCTCCATCTTCATCTCCATAATCGACGTGAATGACGGGTTTTCTTCTGAACACGGTAGATCTTGGTGACATTGGTGCTCCACATTCTGGTGTTGAACCGTTCAAGACACAGGCTAGTTGTAGTAGGTTAGGACTGCCATTTGATCGCTTTTCCAATGCGGAAACTCGCGATGCTACGCCACCAGTAGTAGGAGATGGGAAGTTTGGCGATGAAAATTGGGCATTACTGAACAGTCGACGAGATGGAAAGCCAGACTGAGAAAAGAAGTTGTTAACTCCGGCATTCATCAACTGTTCTCTAATGTTGTGTTTTGGTCTTGGATGAGGCAAAAACAACAACGATTGCTGGCTAGCGTCACTCAACGTATCTGGTGATGGACTGTGTTGATTTGTGGTTGATCTTGTCGTAACAACGGTTCGACTTTCGCCGTTTGGCATGGTAAACCGTGTTTGGCCAAAGTAAGACCTAGTAGTTGATCCGTCAGGGTTTGTAGTAGTTGTAGTGTATTTTACTTCATTTGTGGGGAAACGTCCACACCCCGAACGATCGTTTATTTCACCAACAGCATTGTCTAGCTCGGAAAAATTGGGGTCATGTGTTGCGGAAGTACTAAAAATTTTAGCTTAACTACGAGTTCTTGTCAAAGAATTAAAAAGTATTACAAAAAAAACTTATGCAACTTCGATATGAGATTCTGATATATAATAATTACCCATTAAAGTTGTTTCCAACTAAGGGACTGTGAGAACGAAACGCTTCTTTCAGATATTGTGCTCTTCTTGATGCAACATTATCAACCGCATTTGGTCTACGATAGACCGTGTGCGAGTCTAAATCATCTAAAGGCTCGTGGAGTTGTTCGAGACGTTCACTCGCTGACAATCGCGGAGAGAATGCACGTTGAAACGCAGGAGGTGTATCAACGTGATTCCTTAACGTATCAAGCCAAAAATTGGCCAACGAATTACGTGGCCTAGACCAGTCCGAATAATTGCCGTCTGTCGAGTTTGTTTCTGTGTCAGAGTTACTAAAATTTGAATATGCATGATAGTTTTTAAAATTTTATTTTCTTACGGATATCCCAGGTTTCCTTGACTTGTACTTTTAGAAAGCAATGACGGAGCGCGACCAAATTGGCTTCTGTTAGTGCCATTTTCGTCTCTATCTCTACCAAATCTATCACGCATCTTATAGAAAGAGTCTCGCCACTCGTCAGCACTATTGAAAAAGTTGTCAGGATCAAAAGAAGTCGATGAATGAAGTCGGTTCGGATGTTCTGAGCCCGAACTTGGACTCTGTAAAACAGAATCTAGTTGAGATACGTCAATATTTCTTGTCTGGAGATTTGGGCGTGTGTCAACGTTCAATAAGTTATGAGTTGAATTTGAGATTGAACAGTCTGTAGGCTTTGAGGTATCAGCGGAAACAGTAGCGGTGCTTAGACCGGGAAAACGTTTTGAATCTCGGCGGTTCGACGGAAAATCGTTGAAATCAACGTTGCCGTTTGAAGATTTACGTGCAAAAGAAGGAAATACTCGAGATTCTGAATTGTAGTAGGGTTCACCTAACACTGTGTTTGGTCTACGTTGAGGTAAGGACTTGGTTAGTTCTTCAACCTTTTGTTGAGCTTTCACAGCACGTTGAAGTAGGGGTTCTGGGTCAAAGTTCTCTAACGTATTCACCAATTCATTAATCGATGGAGGGTCTAAAAATGTTAAGATGTAATTTTTGGTTATTTTGCAAGCTATAAAGCCTTTTTACCGTATTTTTTTTTATATAAATCTTCAAAAGCCTAAATAAAAAACAACTAAAAAAATTAAATTATCTTACCGTAAGTCTCTGAATTCGGATTCTTCCTCCACTCAGGTCCAGCTAAATTTGGAGTTTTAGGCTGCTCTCTAATAGGTACAAACTCAAAGTCGTTGTTGTCTTTTCTAGCCCAATACGTATTCGTAGATGGTACGGATGAAGAAGCTCCAGATGCCGTAGAGTACCCAGAACTAGTATCGTTGTATATTTCGCCCACAGATTGAAGTTGAGGCTTGTATCCGAATCCTGCTTGTCGACCGTTCACTGGAAATAACCTTGGGCTGTCCAGGTAATCGTCGTGCTCGTCGTATGCTGAGCGTATTTCGAACGGTTGATGATTTCGGTCGACTCCGTTTCGTCGTTCCTGTTGGTTGGGGGTTTTGTTGTTGGACGCGTTCGAATTCGGACGCAATGAGTAACCGTGCATTAACAACTGTTTTTAGAGGCAGCAAACCTCAGCAGTTTACGGGTATTTTGGTTAATTTATAGAAAATCTGTAAATTTTCGAATTATGCAAGTCCAAAGCACGACAATTCTGGTCCAGAACAGGATTTAGTCATTACGCGATAATGAAAAAACAATGCAAATGTGACAATGAGAGAAATAAACGAGATGCCTCCACGACGGTGTTGAATCATTCCCGAACGCGGCTGGCTACTGCTCATACGCATTATCTAACAATCACACCGTGTTAACCCCGCTACCGACTGATCGAGAACACAATTTTCAGATGTGACCCAATTAGAGCGCAAAAACATTAGAAACCCCATGTAAAATTGCATCCGGTGATGGGCTTCAAACAAGGAAGAATCTACATGTAAAACAATGTTAAGAGAAGTTTTTGACCCGTAAAGATGAAAAATCTGGAGAAGCTTTTGATATAGCAATGATCGTAAGAGCAACATACGACTACATATCAACTTTTAGCTGCATATTCACAAAAAGCCACTGAAACACCAAAAAAAATGAAAAAAGTATAGATTCATCACCAAAATAGCCTTGAAATTTGAAAAGACAAAAGTTAAAGAATGGCTGAGTACTTATAAGAGCAAAATTTAAACCGACTGAAGGAAGAATTATAAATCAAACAGTTTACAACGTGATCAGCGTTGCTACAAATTATTCTCACCTTTTATAAAAACACTTACAAAAACAAACTAATGACGGTTTCCTACATACGTCTACTAAAATCATCAATTTTACTATACGACTATAGTGTAATACACGTAAAGCTAACTATTCTACCGTTCTGACTTTTGTAAATTGACTCGACTGCTAACAACATACAAAATTGCATTTTAAACTCAAAAACGAATGATCTTTTATCAGTTGGTACCAAATTAATCCTCAAAAAAAGTTAAAAAACGACGAACCCGACTCGGCTGGCGCTAATGTCAAACCGGCGAAAAAAGACCTCTTGGTTGTGTGAAACGGATAAGAGAAAAACCCATAGCCTGAAGGGGTACGAGTTTCGGAAAGATAAACCTCGCACTCGATCAGTAACTAATCAGAAACACGCCGCTGTTCTCGAACTTTTAAAACTGCCGGATCAATAGTTTTAATCAAAAATTGGTACTTTTGAAGCTAAATATCCATATTTTTGGCCTGAAAGTAGTTGTCTACTTGCTGCTAATATTGTTTACTTATCAGTACTCTAATGAAAATTAAAGTTTCTCAACAATGACTAAAGTAAGGCTTCAACCAGTTAAAAAACTGTTTTCAACTTAAAAATTGTCGTCCTCTTACTAAAAGTAACTAAGTAAAACTGTTTTACGAAAACATTACTTAACAGCCACCTTGCCCATAACCTAAACCTCTAATCAAACCGTTCCATTCCGAATTCACAAAACTTCCCGCAAAACTAATAAGGAAAGAGAAGAGTTGATGAAAGTGAGTCATTCTAACAAAACAAACCAGGTACACGACTAATACAAGACGAATCGTTTTAAAAACCCATAAAGACGTCAAGAATAAATTGGAAAAAGGAAAGCAAAATATTTAGGGAACATGTGCGTAAGATCAATATTTACTTGCAGTTTTTTTGGTTAGTTTTTTTAATTCAGCGTGACAAATTAGAACGTTCGGTTTTTAATTGCTAAAACTGGTGGAGAGTGAGAAGTTGAAGAAATTAAACGTCTGATTTAAAGTGGAATTAAAACACTAAGTTTACACCCACAACTTGCACCAGAATAGACTTGATTCGTACGCTAGACTGTGTCCAAAACTTCTTGAAAAATTTCAAAAACCAGATTTTCTAAATTTTGAAAATTAAAAAAATTCAAGCATCTGCCAAAATTAGTTAATAAAAATTCACTATACTATCCAGCCTGAAAGCCCAATATATAACAAACAAATATAGAAGATTAATCTGAATCGGAAGAACTATAAAAAGATATCATTTTGACCTTTAAACCGAGGCCAAAGGTTACTAGAAATTAGCCGAGAAAAAAATCAAAAACATATTGATCACAATTAAAACTCAAGCATAGAAATCAAGTATCAAAAAAATTAACCAGACACTTCAACTATCAAAAACTATGTCATATATCTCTAATATAGAAAAAAGTTAAACCATATACGTCACCTCATAATAAACAGAAAAACTCAATTTTCAAAAAACAAAACTAGAAAAACCGATGCCAACATTAAACTGACAACTATTTGTTCTCCATAACTTTTAATGACAGACTGACGAAAATAATTTATAGAACAAACAATGCGTGATATCAAATAATAAAAAACGGTTATAATATAACAAGTTTGCGCTGGGGTTATTTTCTTATTTGTTTGCGGTTACTTTTTATCAGTTCAACCGTTTTTTATTATTCGAAAACAATAAATAATAGCTTCCAGTTATCCGTTTTTTTGGCTGAGAAAAGTTGAATTTTAAAATTGAATTTTAATTTTGTTCCTCTAACGCATAAAATAAGTACACAGCATTGTAAAAAATTTCAAACCATAAGATGATCACTTGAAAAGCAAGGCCAAAACAGCTCTTTAATGGTTAAAAGTCGGCCAAGAATTTTATATTGTGCTACCTAACAAAAGACATATTATTCAAAAACCACCCTGATAATTAAGACCAGTCCAGAAGTTTTAAACCTAGCTTATATTATGTTAGTTTCAAAAACTTTTCTATACATTGTGTTTCATATCTCCAAGCAATAAAAATCAACATAAAAGTCATATGAGTACTAGAAAGACGAAAGCAAAATTTCAATCAGACTTTCCCACTATCAGTCTTCTACTAAGCAGCCAAGATTCTACACTATGACGAACTAACATAACCTCAACCCATAAAAATATAAATTTAAGATCAACCATTTCAATAAAAATCACACATATTGCGCAATCGACCACTTTTACAAAAAAGACTCCTTCAAGATCTGACCAAATGCCACTCTCGAGCAGAGACATATTTCCCTCCAGCCGGTTCGCTTTCCCCTTCCTCGCTGATCGGTCGGGAAAAACGGCAGAGAGCGGCCGAAAAAAAGCAGTGAGATCGAGAGGGGCCGGTGCCAATCCGGCCCCGATTTACGTGGCCTCAAGCAAAAGCCGGAGGGCTCATTCTTTGACCGTTTGTCAGGTGAAGAAGAACAACTCCTTTTGTTCAACTGTTATTTGAATCGCGGCCTCGAGGCGTTTTTAAAACAAATCTTTATTCGAGTTTTTTTCTTCGAATGTTTTCGGCCAATTCAAAACCGTTTAAACTAATCATATAACGATTATAATATCAAAAAGATTGTTGCGAATATAAACCAATATTTAGTTGGTCAAAAAGTGTGTAGATTTCTACTCATTCTTGATCAAAAAGCTGCTCATATAGCCAAAAAATTTAAAAACGCCTCCTTTGACCACAACATAGTAAGCAAATATGAAATAATGGTCAAAAAATTAAGAGAAATTTCACTTCTTTGCACATTATAAACAATTTTCGTACTTTCTATCTATTTTTTAACAAAAATACTATATCACATTGCTTAAAATGACATAACTAATATTGAATAGTGCCTAAAATGTCACATAGTACTGTTCGATGCCACAGTACTGTTAATGGAGCTCATAGACAGTCCTGAAATTAGACATTTCAAAGAACCGGTCCAATTTCATAGCTCAGATGGGTGTCAAAAGTGTCATAGTGTCCATCTGTGAAAAGCAGTGTCAAAAAACCATCAAGATCATTGATTTTTTTTAAATTCAACCTGTCGTTTCGTTTAATCACCGAAATAAATTTGGGTAGCAAAGTTTATGTAGTATAAAAAAACGACATTTCTAGACATTATTTCTATATAAAAAAAAGCTTAAAAGCAAACAAATTGCTTGAGGCAGAGCACAGTATTATTTGAACAGTCTAATTAACAAAGACAATCATAAAAAAACTTTTAAAAACCAATTAAAATAAACAAAATTAAAAAGACATCATTTAGCGTCTAAAACAAAACGAATCTTCACACAAACGTGTAACTTTAAAAAAATAATTTCGACCCGATTAATCACACTGATTATTAATCGCAAAAGTATTATTCATAACACAGCTGATATCTAGTTCATAAGAACTTTAAACTGCTTATCAACAACAAAAATTTTCACAGGTTTTGAGTTGTAAAAACAAAATTTACAGATTTTAGGTTGTAAAAACAAACTCTTATGGCACGTGTAATCTTTACCAAATATTAACATTGCTACGTGACCAATATAAGTTTATACCAAACTTTTTAAAAATTATAATTAAAATTAAAAAAAATATTCAAAATTCTTTATAAACTTCGCAATACCCTTATAATTATTTTTTAAAAATCAAGAAATAAACCAACCTCAATCTGAAACTTAAGTTGATACCTAGGGCTTTGTGCTATCGATGAAGCCTTGTCTCGTGGTGACTTTGGTGGTCGAAAGACGTCCAACCGTGGTGATATTGCTTTCATATCTAAAGACGTAAAGTTATTTATATGGGTCCAAAGTTAAGCATGATTTTAGACAAAGCAACATTTTTGAAAAACGCCAAAAAGTGAGTTTTAGTCTAAATCTATTTTTGGTTTACTTATTATAAATATCCAAAAATATAGCAATATCACAAAATACCAATTTCTTTACCTAAAAAATTAAATTCAAAGTTTTCCTCAACTTACCATTCTCATATCGGCCATGAAATCGTTTGAATTGTGGAGAATATCCCGACGTCGATGAATACGAATTATCTGATCTAGGCTGAAATTATTTTACATTTAACAAAAAGTCTTTCTTTATTTTAGTTTTTTATATTAGCTTTTTATAACTATTATAGGTATTTTCAACTTCTTGGAAATTACCATACAAGCAAACAAAAAAACTAACAAGCTTCAAAAAGTTCATCAACATCAATAACATACCCTGACAAAATCGTTTCGCCGACTTTGTGCCACCATAACTTTAAGTGATTCGCTTACATAGGATTTGACAGATTTTTCGGTAATCTTAAATCATGATTTTTAATAGAAAAATAATACATACAATTTAAATTTATTATTAATTTCGTTATAAAATAAATTTTAGGTAAAATTTTAGGTAATAAGATAAATAAATTAACAAAATATGTAATAATGAAAAGTTCTAAAATTTCTTTTTAATATTCAAAAATTTATCCTGTTGATACCTAAAAAAACAACAGTAGAATTCTTGTAAAACGAATGCCTTGGACAAGCTTGGCGATTTAAAATTTGTTCATTATGAAGAAGTTTCGGTGTAAATTACTTTTAAATACACCGTTTAACGGTATCTAAGTTAAAAAGTCGTTCAATATACAAGTTTTCGTTTTACAACAGTTTGTTATACAGGAGCTCCACTATAATTTGCTACCTAAACTTCAAGCAAACAAAAATATGACAAACAACTTACATTTAACAGATTTTGCGCATCGTCCAAAAACTCCATTTGTAATTTAGGTATAAAAACTTCATTGCTACTGTTTGTCTGTGTCATAGCGGTATCAACCTAAAAATTAAGGTAAGTTTAGTAAAAAGAAATGTCAATAGTATGTTAGAGTTCAATATCACGCAATAATAGGCTCAAAAGCACGGTAAATGCGGTAAAAATACTGAAAAAAGTTCAATAAAATTTAAAAATAAAATTTTGAGAATAAAATAATATACCTACAAAACTCAAAAAGTAGGATTTATAGCTCAAACGTCAAATAAATTAAGAAAAGGTAAAAAATTTATTTTTAAACCTTAAATAGCCCTAAAATTCAAATTTGCATATATAAACCTTCATTAAAACTAAATTTTTAATCGAAAAGCATACAAACTTAAATTTTTAAAATTCAACAACCCTCAAACTTCAAGTATACCTCGTCTTCCTCAAGCAAGACATAGTAAAAGTGAATCTAACATAAAGGTAAAGTAAAAAAATAAAATACCCTCAAAATGCCATATAAAACCCCTCATATTCGAGCCCAAACCTTCAATTCCCGGTCAAAAAGACCAATTTCCAGTGTGTTATTCCTGCCCATTTAAAATAAACTTCCCAACATGCCCAAAATTCGACTCCAATTATGCTGAAGCTTGAATACCTTTTCATATAAGCAAGAGCTTCACGACCTTTCGCGGCCAAAAGGTATTTAGGCACGAAAAAAAACACAAAAATAATGCGGGAGATTTTACGGCGAGAAAAGTGGGACCGGACACCCCAGTGGGAGGCTTGGTTGCTAAGGAGGTTTCGAGGAAGTGGTTACATCCACTTTTGTAACAGAGGTCCGGAACCGACATCGGGGTTACAATAAACGTCATTTTTATGGCCAAAATGATGAGTGGGGTATATGAGTATTTTATTTTTAACCATAACATGTTATTTTATGATTTTGACTGGTTTTTGCCTATCCAACATCTTATTTTACGTTTTTGGCTGCTCCCACCTTCATACAACATGTTATTTTATGTGGTAAAAGCTTTTATATAAACTAAACCAAAAAACTCCTGATGAACCAAAAAATATAAATTTCGTATTTTACCCATAAATTACGTTTATAAACCGTAAATGATACATAAACCCTCAAAGTAAGATATCCTTATTTTCACCTTCCATAATCATGCATCGTCATATCCTCCCAGTCCTACTTTACTTTAGTAAATAATACTACCTCATTAAGCTACGACTAGTTACGTCAACAATCTACTTTCTATTTTCCCACAAAAAAATAAAAGATTGTAATAATAAAAAAACGTCAAAAAATTAATAACAATAGTAATAATAATATCTCATTGTAAAAGGATAGCACATTGTAAGAGTAAGAATGTAAAAAAGCCAATAAACAGTAAAAGTTCGTCTACCTTCGTATTTGTGGCCAACCGGATATTAAACATAAGCCGTGACTAAAGTAATGTCCACTCGTAGCATTAAATAGGGCATTAAATAGTCTTTCAGCTTTGGATAAAACAATACCTAACAAAACCATATTAAAATATGGTGAAAAAGTAATGTCTATGGAGAAAACTATAGATAATACTTTAGTTTTAATATTAATTTTTCACTTTGTTACCTATAACATCTCTTTCATTTAAGTATTAAAAACTAATATTTTAAGTAACTCTAAACCTAAATCCAGTAAAGACAAGGCATTGGGTTGAGTAAGTGGCTTTTAGTTTAATAAAAAAGTATACTCAAATTTTTATTTACGTAAAAAAATTCTATTTTACTAACCTCACCAATTATTATACCTTCTCCAATATACAGCCATATTACTACTAATAAACAGCACTTTTTCCGGCTCTTAATCACCATATGTCCACAACCTTAATGATTACTTTCTATAACACTAATAGCCGCTTTCAAAAAAATCTGGTTTGGAACTATCTATAATGACCAGCTTTTAAAAATTATATCTTCTTACAAGCAGAAGAAAAGTTAGTAATATATAACTATATTAATAATCCACAGCCAAATTTACACTCCATAACCGATAAAATATAAACCATATTCACCATATTCAATAGAACTATTAACCGCCTCGCAAAACCTTATTACTCACCTTTAATAACTATATTGACCACCTTCAACAACCATATTAATCACCCTCCCTAACCATTACCACACCATACATAACTCAACTAATTGGATGCACCCGACCAAACACACCCCGAATGTTACTTCGCCATCAGGTGCAAGATAGACCCTTTTGGCCGTGTTGGAAGCCTCCTACTTCCATGTGCACATTCATAACAACATGCGGTACAGAGGTCAACATGTTTCCTCGACCGAAGTAATTTTGACGTTATTTTCGGAAGTTTTTTTTTTCGAACCCATGTAATTTGTGATATTTTGGGAAAATTTGATCATTAATCAATTTTAGAATAGCAAATTCAATAGCGTTTGTGGGAATTTAAAAACAGGCCTGCTTTCGAAAAAAATTCTTTAAATAAGCTTGTAGATTCTAAAAATTACGAACAAGATACACATAAAAACTTCGTAATAGATAATACTTTTGCTACTCTACAAAACCTACATAATCATTCTCCAGTATCTGTTACCCAAACATAAATTTAAAAAAAAAAAATTGTTACCTAAAATAATACTCTCCAAAAATATATCAAATGTAAAACATTTAGCATGAAATATGGTTGCTCAATCCAATTTCAAGCTCTTAAACTATAAATAACAAAATGCACAAACAACAGTTTTCATAATTTTAACTAAAACATCTTATTTAAAAAATTTAAAAGTTCAAAATTTAAACATAAAATACATTCCTAAAATTAATTCTAAACATTAAATTAAAGACTAAACAATCTACAAAAGTTCATTCCGAAACGTTTTTAGTATTATTACCTAGAAAATACAATTCTTGCGCAAACCAAACAAAACTGTAAAACCCAAGAAAAACCACAAAAATACAATAAAAAGAAAAATAATTGAAGATAATGTTAAAAACCTCCATAATCCTCAACAAACTCACTTATTCATCGACTTCTAGACCCTTGAATCCTCCAAAAATACTCAACAAAAAGTTGTTTTTATTTTTATGAAATTGCGTGAAGCGCAGATCGCAAAACCTTGGCCGCAGGTTGGCAAAGATTAAAAGCCGATTTTTCGCTTTTGGAAAATCAGTGTTCGCCAACTTTGGCTATTATTTTGGCATGTAGCAGAATTTTTGTTCCTTTATTTGTTGATATAAAATTTGTTTGGTTTTATTGAAACTGATATTGTAGTAGATTGTTTTTTTGAAGAATCCAAGCTTTGGTCGAGAAAATTGTTTTGAAACTAAAGATAATGTTTATACCTGTCCAACAATGTTCTTTATACCTTTATAACTCATAATTTAATAAAATCAATCAAGATCCTTGTGGAAAGTTTAATTCAAAAGGCAAATTGTACATAAACAGCATTGATCAAGGTTTGCTAGGTCGATACGAATTATGTACAGAGCTGGCAGCTGTGTCGTCTGGATCTACAATGTCTCCTGATGAACTTTCGGGTTGGATGCGTGGTTCATTCAGTGGATTTTCCCAGTCAAGTGGGTCTTTATCGTTGACATGCTCTGTTAACATTGCCTAAAAATGATTTTTTAAACGTTTTTTACTTGAAAAGTGAGTTTTTTTTTGTTTCTTGGTAGCCAAAATGCATTTTAAAATGAGGTTTTGAATCTTTTTACAAATAAAGTCTTGGACAATATAATTTTAGAATTTACAAATTTCAATTTTAAGTAACAGTTCCTTTCCTACCTGATTTAGCAGCTGGTAAATTTTCCGGTACGGTACGGGACGACTGTATTCGAGGTCATCGATGAGTTCCAGAATCTTCCACAAAACAGCACGACATTCGAAGCCGGGGAAGAGCATGTCACGCCAGTCACGGTCTCGTCGGCAATCCTCTTTCATCAACATTACCGACAGTTTATCGTTCAGATTCTTCCATGGTAAGCCTTCTGGATGCATAATTTCCATGAATGAGTAGAACTGAAGAAATGTTTTTATTGTGAAATTTTATAGAAAAGCTAAAAGTATTATAATATGTACGTTATAGGAAAAACTAAAATAATATTTGTTAATATAACAATTTAAAATCTAAAATATGAAAACAAACCAACTTACCCAACTTTCAATATCGTCTTTGTAATCCTGATCAGAGTATCGATGGCAAGAAAGAGATGCGTATCTAACCGTACCCTTGAAAGGTGCAAAACATCTTAACCTCTTCTTCTTGTCATTTCGTTCATCAGGTGCCAACATAAACCTGGAAATTCCAAAGTCCAGTATGTAGATCTAAAAGTGATTTTTTTTTTAATTTTGAAATACGAAAACAACTGAAGTTTGATTTTTTTACTTATTTTTTTTTACTTTTACTGTAAAAAAATGAATAAGCAAAATCTAGAAAATAACCCACAATATACTAAAACAGCGCAAAACGCCAATTCATGGACCTTTTGACCATTTTAAACAAGTTCTAGCAACATTTTTAATTTTAATACTACAACAAAGCCACCTTACATTTCGTATGTTCTTCCCAAGACCGTGAGCGTAGTTGGCGGGTTTTAAATCACGATGAATGAAGCCGATCATGTGAAGTTGATGAAGCCCTTCTAGCATCTGATACGCGCATCGTAGACCCGTACTCACTGTGAAGTGACCCGACTGAAAATAACGTCTTATCATTATAGGCATTGTCCTTTTCTTGGTCTTGAGAGATGATAATTTTTTTTTCAATTTTTTAAATGTAACGAGGGGGGGGGGATCATGTTTAACTTTTTTCAATATTATTTTGAATTTTTTTAAAACTTTCTATTAAAAATTTCAAAAAATCGGCGTACATGTGAACCTTTGTCTGACCTCTCCTCCATTTCATCTTCAAGAGATTTGCCCACCAGCTCCATTACCAAAAAGCTTGATAACTCAGTCTTTCCTTTGTCGATCATCAAGGTAAAGTGGTTGGAACGCATCTTCTTGCGTTTTACTTCTCTTAGGACCCAGATCTGAAAGTTTTAAGTACTATTATGCTATATCTCCTAAAATCTGAAAAATAATTTTTTAGATCTTCCAAGTTAAATAAAATTAAAAAAATTTGAAATTTGAAAAAAAAATATTTAAAATTGAACAGTATGTCAATGTGAGCTATGAAGAATAATACAAGTACAAAGCTGTACTTACCTCCATTTTGAGTTTGGAATCTTTTTTCTTCATCCTATGCTCAACCTTCATAGCGTATTGTTCTTCGTCGTTACCGACTTTTTTGATTTGATACACAGCTCCAAACCCACCTTCACCTAGTAACTTTACTATCGAGTACTGTGCTAGTCCTCCTTGCACTACGTCGCCCTAAAATACGATTTTAATGCCAAAAAACAACGGTAGAACTTATGTGTACTGTAGCATAATGACATGTTTAAATTCATTTGATTATAACCTTATTTGCCCTAAAACTACATATGTTAGAAGTAAAAACACAAATATAACGATGAAACTATAGTAAACGTACCTCCTTCATTAGCGGTACAGTTGGTTCTTCAGCCATTTTCAACACGAAATTAACCAACTGATCAATAGAAACGGTACAAACGGAAATGAGTCAAATATGATTTTATAAAAATTTTACTTTATACAAAGTTGAAAAATTTGCATATTTTGTTTAAAAAAAAACAAAAAACTTGCACAATTTTTTAAAACTTATTTGTATTGTAAGAAAGGGTAAGGTAAAATACGGTCTGTTGACGTCAGTGTTTTGCCCGGACCGGTCCGGAGCGTTTTTCATCGGTCCGGTCCGGCGATTTTTTGGGCCCGGCCCGGTCCAAACTTCAAATTTTTGGGTCCGGTCCGCAAAAAAAATTTTTTTAATTTTTAAAAAAAGCAAGGAGCGCTAAAACTGCTTTCTTTTTGCTTAAAAACTCCTAAAAATATGTTTTATTTGCAATTTTTAAAACAGTTTTCTTAAAATAAAAAAAAATTTTCTTCCGGACCGGTCCGGAGCTTTTTCTTCGGTCTGGGTCCTCAGGTTTTTGGGTCCGGTCCGGTCCGGCAAAACACTGGTTGACGTTATCAAAAAAAGTAACAAGAAATGCAAGGTATAAGCTCTCAGTTAATCTAAAGGTGAACGTGGTCCCCCCTGTGGATTTTCGGAAAAATTTTTAGACCCCCGTCTCCAGACCAATGGTCCCCGCTCGCCCCTGGTTACAGGAATAATATCAGTAAAACAAATCAACAACAAAACTAAAAAACGCATTTATTTTAACACTAAATGGTTTATCAGTATCTCGAGACTGTGCCGGGGTCCTGGCCATCCTTGTCCTTTTCTTTGTCGGCTTCCTTTTCCTTATCTTTGTCCTTGTCCTTGTCTTTGTCATACCGACTTTTCGAGTTTTTACCGGAGGTTTCAGTCTGTTCCTCGACGAGCTTTCGGATCTGAAAATGGGTAGTCATTAGGATAATATCAATATTACTAAAAAATAAACTTTTTCTATAAGAAATAGGGTTAAGAATGACTTTTTGAATATTTAAACATGATGTTTTAGTAGCCTACAGTATGATTTACACTAAAAAGTCAAATTTTTTAAATTCCAAGCTAAATTTTTTTTTGTAATTTTCAATAACTAATCCTCACCTGCATCATGGACATTCGTTCATCAGGTTCAGCGGGGAAGCATCCTTTATGCATAATATCACCCAATGCACATGGCATGCTTTCTGGCGGTGGCATACGGTACCCTTCACGGACCTTCATATTCACTTCAGCCAATGTCATTCCGGGGTAGGGATCCTGGCCGTCCGAAAACACCTCCCACATTAGTATGCCGAAGCTAAACACATCGGACTTACTCGAATATTGGAGAAGGGTCAGAGTTTCTGGAGCCAACCTGAAAAAAAAGAGTTTAATACTTTAAAATTTTTTAAAATTTTCGAAATTTCAAACTAAAAAATTTTATTAAAAAATTTCAACTTTTCAATTACTCACCATCTGATTGGCAACTTCTGCTTCAAATTAGTCAACTTGTATTTGGTATTCTGCACTGACGCCTCTTTTGACAATCCAAAGTCGCTGATCTTGACCCTACCCTCACTGACTAGACAATTCCGAGCTGCCACATCTCGATGGATACATCCCTTATCGTGCAAATATTCCAAGCCTTTAGCCGCATCCAAGACCATCTTCACTCTGATAGGCGTTGTCAGTTTGGCAGCGTTCTTCTGGAGGTACTTATCCAATGACCCGCTATCCACCAGTTCCATCACTAACATTAGGGGCTCATTGTGCATTGCCACGCCGTAAAACTTGACAATATTCTAAAAATTTAAGTTTTGTAAAGTTGAAAAATCTTAATATTACTAAATCCTAAAATATTTTTTTGATTTTGAATCCCTTCCCTCTAAAAAAATTACCCCGCCCTCAAAAACAAAACTTTTTAAAAATGTCTAAAATCACCCCAAAAAACATAGTAAAACCTTACTGGATGGTCATATCTCCTCATGATCCTGGCCTCCTTACACATCTCCTTGATCATCTCCTTGCTTAACTCTTTTCCTTTGTGCACCTTAACCGCCACTTTGATGACCTTCCCTCCGGTTGTGAAGTTGCCCATGTACACTCCGCCGAATGCGCCTTCGCCGAGCATTTTGCCCAACTCGATCTGGTCATGTTTCAGTTCCCAGTCTTGGCGTATGACCGGCTTCTCCAACACGGCCCCGCTCTTCACCGTGACCGGCTTCTTCGTTTTCTGATAGTGTTTGACCAGTTCGGAGACACTTTGGAACTTGAAATGTTCAATGTAAAAATGGCCGTCGGCTTCGTTTATGATCAGATGGAAGAGGCGGGTGTTCCAGCGGCATGAGAGGACCAGTCTCATGCCTTGGCCTTGCTTGGGCTCGGTTAGTCGGACAAGAAACTGGCCGTTGTCTTTCAAAAGTGTGGCTATGTCTTCGCGTGGTAACATACCTAAAAATATGAGTATTATATTATCAAATTTTAGTACATATTCGGACAAAATGTAAATAGAAAATTCAAAAGAGCAAATTTTTTGCTAAAAAGTCCTATTTAAAAAAAGCGAAGTTTAAAAGCACCAAAAACTCAAATATAAACATAAAATCAAATCAAGAATACTCACCATGATACCAGTCTTCTTTGTCTAGGTCTTGACGCGTTTTGGTACTGGTGACATTTTTGGTCCTCGAAGTTTTCGACATGTCTGACAGAAGAAGATCGACCGACCCAACTTCTCACAAAGTATCGCATACAACAAAATGAACATTCTTCGGAGTTTACAAGATTTCTTGATTTTAACATTTGCAAAAAGTAAAAAGTAAAATTTCAAAATAAATTTTTTTACCTTTTTATACCGTATATGTAAATTAATGCTTTCAAAATTAAACTTTAAAGTTTTTTTGATAGTAGTATCACAAGTTAATTTTTAGGCTTAAAAGATTTTACGTATTTTACCATCAAACTATTACTCATATTCGTTCCACTTTTAAAAACATGAATTTTACTTTTGTTATATATGACCTTATATAAAGCGGGCGGCTTAACTTTGATCAGATTAAAAACCAAAAATATTGTTTTATCAGCTGCTTAATGTTTATTGAGCTGGTGATATGTCTGTGATTTTATATGTTCAAAACTATCGCCCTTTTAATATTAGAAGATTTAAAATTTTAACGAATTCGTTGATTTTTTTATTCAAATATTTTGAATTTTTGACTTCGCGGGTTTTTGGCATTGCGCTGCAATTTAAAACTTATATTTTTTAAAACCTTTTGAACTTTTGCTAATATTTTTAACTAAAAAAATTTTAAAAGACGTCTTACAAACGTTTTTATGTTATTGTAGTTCAGTACCCATAACTTCAACATCACACAAATGCTAATAAATTCCCCGTTACGCAGACAGAAGATGAGAGCAAATAACAACTTTTATTCAAATAACCAAAACAAAAATTTGTTTTGTACTTGGTTAGCTATTCATCCGTTTATTGCTTTTCTCCCGCGACGAAAACTTTTCGCGCCACAATAAATCTCATTTTCTCGAAAAATGTTTCGTTTTTTCGCTAAAAATGACTATGTTCATGTCACACACTTGAAATGTTTGTTTTTGCGAAATGAAAAGACAATACTTTTATGGAGAAAATATTAGAATGTTTTTTGCATTTTTATGTGAGAGAGTTTGTGGGAAAATCTTACAAATTTTTAATTTGTTACTTGCTTTTTGCACTTCTTTATACTTTTATATTTGGCGTATATATAAGTTAGTATTTATTGAGTTTAGTCTTTCTATTACGTCAAAAAATTAGGTTAATATTAACATTTTTTTAAATTTAATTTTTATAATTCTTAATTTAACTTTTAGGTATTAATTTAGATAAAACGTCTACTCTTGACGAAACAAACTCTCGTCTACGGAAACAACTCTTGCCACAGTCTGGAAATGTTCAATGCTTTTCAATACTACTTTACCATCTTATGCTGACCTTACACGGTTATCATAAAGCTTGGAAACACAACCGCTCATCTTTTCAAAAAACGTATACGAACACTATTACCTCAACAAAAAAAAATAAAAGTTTTTCAATTGTCCATTTAATTTCTTTCAAAAAACCATTGGGCCAAAGCCCTGAGGGTTATATATTGGCCTTGGTCAGTGGGAACAGAAATCCTTTCGGCTTATTTTTCGGGAAACTTGCCTCTGACGTGTTTCGTATTGTGATTTTAAAAGATGAGTCAGTCATCGGAAATCGAAAATTGCGCTTTTTAGTCATTAACCGCTTTTTTAACCAACGTGTTTTTTTTTCTTTGAGCTCTTCCAACGTCTCATCGAATTAAGTAGGCAACGGAGGGTCAACGGGAAGTGAAACATGGTTTTTTGACGCCCTAGAAGTCAGTGGGTTCTATGTTGGAGACTTCTTCTTTGATACTACACGTGTTTTCTCGACAATCGTTGAGGTTGTGGTTACTATTTTAAAAGTAAACATAAAATCGTGTTTAAATCCTTTTTTCCGTTCTTTGTTGTTTTTAAATAATCTGAATTTACTCAAATGCTTTTTCATTGTTGTGGCTAATTTTTAAGGCTTTTTAAGGTTTTTATGTTGAGTTTATTTTAAAGTGAATTCGAGTAAGGCATTCGAAATTCGAGTAAAGATTAATGAGCAGTTGTGTGGCCGTGTATCTAAATTGATACATTTACGAAATTGCTTGAATACACACCATTTTATTTTAAGTCTCAAAAATTTAAATCTACAAAAGCCCGCCAAAAACAATGAAAGTTGATAATGCTATCTTTCGTATTTTCGTAATGGTACCAGACAACATCTTAAGGCCACATGTGTTTTTCAGAGTAGGGAAACTTGCTTTCTTTTAAATGAACGTCTTTTAGAAATAATAATATGTCAAAAAAGGCCCCATTTGCATTTTGAACTGTTTTACATTATCATAATGCAAGAATTGCATTTTCTTTTTTTTTTTATTGTGAACATATAAAAAGAAAATGCAATTTATAGTCATGTTTAAGGTTTTTGAGACCCTTTGTTTTTAGGTGAAAATTCTGTTTTGTAAGCCTAAATTTTTCCAAAATTAAAATTTTTGTAACTTGACTTACGATACGGAAATATCACTATTCTCTTTAACCATGATATTTCCGGCCACTTGAAAGTATTTCCGCGCCGTACGTCAACACAAATGAACCAACTCCTTGTTGTTGTGTCTTTTACTCTTTTGGTGTGCGTGCTCATTGTTATGACATTTCTTGTATCAAAATTTCAAAAATTTTTTAAACGAATTAGTTCTGAACCCGCCGAGACAGTGCAGGTCCGTTTCTTTTTTCTTTTTCTTCATTCTCGACGTCGATGTTTCTACGCCTCCGATATTGATTATCGAAACGGCATTCTGAAGAGATTCTGTGGCCAGAAGTTTTTCTTAAACGAAAGTTTTTCGGTGGGATTTCTTTTCTGCCCTCAGGGTCTGGTTGGAAAACGCCTCGCACGCCTTGTTTCGCCGAGGCCCCGGTTTTTTTTCCGCGGCGTCGGCCTTTTTTCGGCCCACAACTTGGTCCCCCTTTCTTCTCAGGTTATATGCCGTCTCTCTCTTTTTATTGCCAAATTTGGAGGAAATGTCGAGTGTTATATATTTTTATCGAATATGAAGAATTGGCTATCGGTTTTTTGTCCTCAAAGAGTTACGGGTTGGGGGAGGGCTGGAGGGCAATAAATGAAATTGGCTTGGATGGAGTAAAATAAGGGAGAGTAGTGGTAAAATTATGGAAAACAGCACATGACAACGCATTATTTTTAGTTTATGCCGCATTTTTTGTAGTCTGTCCAAAACACTATCAAAATAACTGAAAATATTTTTTTAAATTTTAAAACCATTATATTAAAAAAATGTGCGTACTGTTAAGAATACGTTTTCGTTTATTGGTTATTTGTTGTATAAGTTAAGGTTGTACAAAATGTTATCTGTATCCAACAGTTGCATTATGGGATAATCGCAACGGAGTATCAATTGCAATAGGAGACATTTATATTTTAATTTTTAAAACTGAAATTTAGGGCTAAAGTTTTTTTTTCACGCGTATTATACCCAAAGCTTTGCGTGTACAAAAGTTTCTTCTAATAAGACTTTAAGAAGTGACTGAAAACTCACCAGGAACTTCTTTCCTTCGTATAACATGTCGCTCGCAATTCGCAAACCTCAGAAAAATAGTTTTGTCGTAAAAAAGTCAAAGATTTGACAAAAACAGTCTTAACTTATAACAACATAATTCCCTAATTAGTAAACTACAAGTCCGCTGATTGATGTCGAGTGTGAATATCGGCGAAAGTGGCGCCACACTTGCTTCTTTGTAGAGAATTTCTCGTTTCTTTTTGCCGATTGATTTCCAATTTTCTTTTTTTTTTCCACTCCCAAACTGTTTTTTTCGTTTTCAGAGAGGAAGAAATAAATCCCCGGGAATTCAATTACTCCGAACACTCAATATTCTAGTAGACAATCATGGCGTGGGCCAATCAGGGCATGCAGAACCTGATTCCGCTCATCAATCGGATGCAGGTGAGTTCGACAATGTTATTCTTGAGTTTAAACTAGAATTTTGTGAATTTTTTGGAGGAGCTTTGGATGATTAACTTTTAAATTAGTTGGGTCAGAGTTTAATACAACTTTTGTTAAATTTTTGGTACATGAAAACTGGTCCTTGCAGTTTAATACTTGAATTTTGCTATGTTACACTCGGTTTCATAGCTATTTTTGAGGTTTTTATAAATTTCCGAGCAATTAGACTCATTAATTTTTTTAAGCCAGTTAAAGCAGATTCTCAAGCAATTTTCTAAATTTTTTTAAAAGTTTAATGTTTTGTAAGTTTGGTACAGTTACCTAAAATAATAAAAGTTGAGTTTAGATGATGAATTTAAAATTTTAAAATACGAGATGGAAAATTGGTAAAATATGCCGTATTTTAGCATTTTCTCACATAATTTAACGTTTTTGTGTTTTCAGGATGCATTTGCTCAATTAGGAACATCATTGAACTTCGATCTACCTCAAATTGCTGTAGTTGGAGGCCAAAGTGCTGGTAAATCGTCGGTATTGGAAAACTTTGTTGGAAAGTGAGTGTTTGACTTTTGTTTTAATTTTTAGGGACCTTGAACAGCATTTATTCAAAGTTATGTTAAATAACATTGACCTACAGAGCTGTAGGAGGATGATGTTGGTATAGATTAACGAAAAAGACAGTTTTTGTTCATTTTTACATGGAAAACAATAAATTAATAGCTGGTTTTGTTAAAACTTATGTTTATTGATAAATGAAAATTTTACTTATTGAAAATTAATTTTGGCTAATCTTTCAGAGACTTTTTACCACGTGGAAGCGGCATTGTAACCCGTAGGCCATTGATTCTTCAACTCATCAATGACCGAGCAGGTACACTTATTTTATTTATTTTTTTTTGAGTTTTAGGTGGTTTAGTAGTCAGAATTGACTGTAAAACAGCGCAGCTCGTATTTTACATATCTTTTTTAATAGTAATTTAACTTTTTTTTGGAATATTGCGTAGGACTGTTGGTTAATTGATTACTGATCACTATATTCCAGAATACGCCGAGTTTTTGCACAAAAAGGGACACAAGTACGTTGATTTCGATCATGTTCGCAAGGAGATCGAAGACGAAACCGATCGAATCACCGGCGCCAACAAGGGCATCTCTCCAGTGCCAATCAACCTGCGAGTCTTCTCACCACATGTACTCAACCTGACACTCATCGATTTGCCAGGTCTTACCAAAGTACCGGTAGGAGATCAACCTCACGACATTGAACAACAAATCCGTGACATGGTCTTGACCTACATCGCTAGAGAGACCTGTTTGATTTTGGCTGTAACGCCAGCTAACTCGGATTTGGCCACTTCTGATGCTTTGAAGTTGGCGAGGGAGACTGATCCTCAGGGTTTGAGAACGATCGGAGTATTGACCAAACTAGATCTCATGGATGAGGGCACTGATGCTCGCGAGATTTTGGAGAATCGACTGTTCCCGTTGAGAAGGGGTAAGATTTTTGATGGTTTTTGATATTTTCGATGAAGTAGGTGTTTTGTTACAAGTACATACTAGTCTTCTACTCTCAATTTCAGGCTACGTTGGAGTAATTAACCGTTCCCAGAAGGACATTGTCGGCCGTAAAGACATCAAGGCTGCGTTGGACGCCGAGCGAAAGTTCTTCCTCTCTCATCCCGGCTATCGTCACATGGCCGATCGTCTCGGCACGCCATACCTTCAGAAGACTCTTAATCAACAGCTCACCAACCATATCAAGGATACGCTGCCAGCATTGAGAGACACCCTACAAAAGAAGCTGTACTCGATGGAGAAGGAGGTGGCCGAGTACAGGAATTTGGATGCGAACGATCCAGCACGCAAAACCAAGGCTTTAATGCAAATGATTCAACAATTCACGTTGGATATGGAAAGAAGTATCTCCGGGTCGAGCACGGCCTCGGTTAATACGAACGAGTTGAGTGGTGGTGCCAGAATCAACCGCATCTTCCATGAAAGGTTTCCGTTTGAAATTGTGAAGATGAACATTGACGAGAAGGAAATGCGAAGGGAGATTCAGATTGCCATCAGAAATTTCCACGGTATTAGGTAAGGGTGGAAATTTAAATTAATATGAGATTTATAAGCGCAATGTCATCATTATATCCTTTCATATCGAAATCCACGTCCATTATTATTTAAAATATTTTCAGGGTTGGTCTTTTCACGCCAGACATGGCCTTCGAAGCCATTGTGAAGAAACAGATCTCTCGTCTGAAGGAACCTTGCCTAAAATGCGTTGATCTTGTAGTAACCGAACTAGCTAGTGTAGTACGACAATGTGCTGAGATTGTCACCAGATACCCACGCCTTCGTGATGTCATCGAATCCACGGTGACCGGGTACATGCGACAACAAGAAGCCAGTGCTAAAGGTCATATTATGATGATTGTTGATGCGGAACTAGCTTATATGAACACTCATCACGAAGACTTCAACCCAACTGAAGCTAAATCAAGCTCAGCGACGTCGAAGAAGAACCTGGGCAACCAGGTGATCAGAAAGGGCTGGTTGTGTGTTCACAACATTAGTTTTGTCAGAGGATCTAAGGATTGCTGGTTTGTCCTGACTTCCGATACGTTGTCTTGGTATAAGGATGATGAGGTGAGTATTTTAGGTGATAAAACTGGTAGAAGTAGGGATTTTTGTTGATATTGTAGTATATTTTTGAAGATCTTTATTAGTTTTTTTTTTTTTTTTGAATAGCTACTAGCTAGTACTAGGTTTAATAAAATAGCTATTAAAGATCATTTTATGTTAAGCTCACCTTGCTTTTTTCCAGGAGAAAGAAAAGAAGTACATGCTCCAACTTGACGGCATCAAACTGAAGGATCTCGAAGCCGGCTTCATGTCCCGCCAACACAAGTTCGCTCTGTTTTATCCGGATGGAAAGTAAGTTTCGAAAAGGTTGAGTACTAATACTTTCATTATAACGTGACGCTCTGTCTTGTGGACGCAACAACACTTTTTGCAGGAGGTAGGGGTAGTCGTAGTATAGTCGTGTGATGTCGTATCGTGAACCCTCAAATGCTTAAATTCACTTTGTTGTAGCTATTAGCTGGTTATAGTTCGATATATGTGGTGTTTTTTGAGGTTTTGATAGTAATGGGTTGTTCGAATAATTATGTGCCCTATAGCCCCAAAAATTTGCTTTGAGAGGGGGCACAGAATTCTTTGAACAACATAATGTGATTGGTGGCGTGACACTAGTTTCGCTGGGTACTATTGTTGGACAGGGTTACTTTGGTTCTTTCAAGGACGGTTAAGAAATAAAAATTTTTATTGCGTTGGGTGGGACAAGCTCAAATTTAAAAAAAATTTGGATACGGCTTTTTCCCGCCTTTCAATACTGCACACTATCCTCTGTAAATCAGTATACCGTTCCAAATATCCTAAAAATCGCGTCCAACCCCTTAATTTCAGAAACATCTACAAGGACTACAAACAACTCGAGTTGAGTGCCACTAACCTGGACGAAGTGGACGCCTGGAAGGCCTCCTTCTTGAGGGCTGGTGTCTATCCAGAGAACAATCAAGCCGTTCCGGATGAGGTAAGTCGAATGTCCGTCTATTTCTAATAATCTCATTGAATGTTACAGCAAGAGGTCAGTTTTACACTCCCCCCATACACAGAGAAGTTTATTTTAATGTTGTTTTAGTGGTGGCGGTTGATTAATATTGTGATGGTGTTTTAGTAGCTTTTATAGAGATTTTTGGTTGGCTAGGCTATCTTTGAGTAGTTTTTGGTTTTACTAGAGATAATAATATGTTAACATAGGGTGCTTTCGCTAGTCAAAAATCATATATAGAATTTTTTTAGTGATATGAAGGTAAATTTTAAGTTTGAACGGCACTTTTTCCTATTTATACCTAATTTTTTCTTTAAATTTACGTTGCACATACATTAAGTTGTTTGTCTGCTAATGAAAGACTAAATTTTGCAATTTTCAGCCCAATATTTTAGTCGAAAAATTAATTTTTAAAGTTTTTTTCACCTAAATTTTTCCAAAATTTGCCAAGAACTGACATTTCCAACCACTTTAGCTAATATCTTTTGCCAAACTTTAAAATGTTTTTTCAAAATTAACATATCTGTTGTAACGCTGTTGTAATTTGGTATATTTTATATGTAGAATGGACAGGTTCCGGAGGAAAAGAGCATGGACCCTCAGCTGGAACGACAAGTCGAAACCATCCGAAATCTGGTCGATTCCTACATGAGAATTGTCGTCAAATCCATCTGTGATTCCGTCCCGAAATGGATCATGCTTTTGATTGTTAACAAGGTGGGTCACTGTTGTAGGTATCCAAATTAAAAAAAATCAAATCTGTATTTAAGGAAGTTTATTAAAAATAAATTTTGGCCGTCTTAAAATTTGAAAAATGAAATTTTAGGTCAGTGACTTCCTTCGCGAAGAACTACCCGCCCACCTGTACCAAAGCGGTCACGACACCGAAGCCCTGATGGAAGAATCTCCATTCGAAGCCCAGAAACGTCAGGAAACCATGCGACTGTACCAAGCCTGCAAAGAGGCCCTTAAAATCATCCAGGACGCCAACATTGGCGACATGACCACTATGGCCATGCCCGCTATGGGTGATATGCGAATCGGAAACCCAAGCCCAGTACCATTGGGCGGACGACCAGCACCAATTCCACCAGGTGCCGGCTTCGGCCCTGGACCAAGCGGACGACCCGCTCCAGTACCACCACGCCCAGGAATGGGCATGGGACCACCACCACCGGGTGGTAGACCAATGCCCGGGGGACCCATGGGCCCACCACCACCCGGCCATGCCATGCCTCCAGGCCCCGGCGGACCTCCACAGTAAGTTTTTTAAGTTTTGGACTATATGATGAACCAAAAAATGTAAAATTTGATGAACAAAATGTTTTTTTCGTATTTTATGACATTCTTAAAGGTAATTTAGAATCTTTTTTAAATATTAACTTTTACTAACTACTAAAGCCAATTAATAAAATCCATTTTCTTGGGTACTTTCTGGGCAAGTTTCACCTAATAAAGCACTACTTTCCTATACTTTTTCTTAGTTTTTGCTTGCTAAAACATGATTTTTTAAGCAAAAAGGTGATAAGTTGGATAAAATTGCGTTAAGAACTGGTTTGGTCAAAAAGTGAAGAGAAAAAGTTACTTTGAAAGTAAATTTTTTAACTTTTTGGAGCTAATACATGCTCTTGAAATTTTTTAAATTTTGGGTTGAATTTTTATGAACTTTGGGCCGAATTTCTACGAACTTTTGAACCAAAATCCTACGAATTTTTTGATCAAACTAGTGCTCTAAATACCATAGCTTCTATCGTTTATTTTTACTCCTAGGCGTCCGCCACAAAACCATTAGAAAACACTGCAGACAGAGCCCGAACCCGGATTGGTAAGAGGCCGTATATGAATGGCGTAGTGTTTCGGTGTTGTGATAGTGTTTCGTAAAGTGTTTTGTGGGAGTTTAGGGGTATTGGTTTTTAAAACTCAAAGCTTTGACTTTTCCGCTGAATCTTCAAAATTTGCATAAAAATTTTGAAATTTTGAAAAAACTACATATATTTTTGAAAAACCTACAATTGAATTTGAAAATTTTTTTAAACCAAAAAAATTTTTCAGATCTTTGTCGATTTGCTTCTAAAATAAGCTGAAATTCAATATTTGTTACCTAAAAGTTGCCAAAGTTGATTAAAACATAAAATCGTTAATTTTAAAAAACATTTAGAATGCAACTTTTTTATATTTTGATGTATGGTTTACTCAGTAACAGAAGGCCAGCGACCTTACGTCACCACAAAAACTAATACATTCATTTTCAGACCGCCAGCCCATTCACGACCCCAAATTCCAGCGCGACCCGCGCCCACACCGCCACTTCGATGAATTTCTTAAAGTATTTGAATTTTTTTAATTTCGAACTTTTAGGTTTGTAACTTATTTCACTTATGTATGTATTTCGTGTATATGCTCCAATAGTGTAAGATAATTTTCGTTTATATCCGCAATAATATTCTAATTTATGGTTTTTGTATTATTGTCATTTTTTAAGTGTACATTTGTCATATTTAATCGAGTTTTTGGGTGAGTGTTTAAGATAATATTTTAGGCATTGAAGATTTTTTGCGATTTTTTAAAAATAGATATTTTAAGTTTTATGGTTTGCACGGTTCAAAATTTAAAAAAATTTAAAGTTTGCACCGTGCAGAGCCTTAAAATTCAAAAAAATTGAAATTTTGTCCCCAAAAACTGAAAACTCACCTCTTGTCCGTTCTTTGTATCGTATTAAGTGGATCTATTATTTTTTCGCATTTTTATCTAAAAAAGTGAATGCAAGTTAATTCATAAAAAGGTGATAAAAACAAAAATACGAAAGAATTAATGGATCCATAATCATTTTTTCCCAATGGCTAATCAATCCTTGTGTTCCTCGTTCATCCTGGGTTTTTGCTCTGTCGCAGTCCGTTTCACCCCCACTTTTCGTAGCCTACGAACCGTAGGATCGTAAGGAAAACCGCCTGTAGACAGAGTGAATGTTGTATCGTCTCCTGTGAAATCGTCTTTTTTTAGCATAGAAATAAAGTTTATCAAGGTTTTAATAAGGTTGATTATAATGTTGATATGGGTTTTGGAGGCCCCCTTGTCCAAAAAACACGATACCAAAGTAAAAAGTGAACAACAACCCTTAAAAAACAAAACCTTCACAATAAAAAAAAGTTTATTTAAATAAATTCGTGTATGTACAGATACTACTCATGTACTCTTCGTACTTCGACGATTCTTCTTCCTTACAACCTTGGTCGACGCGTCTGGATCGGTGCTGGTCGGTTTGTTCAAGCCCTTTTCCTTCAGTTCCCTGAGCTTCTTCCGCCTCTCATCTCTGGCCTTCTTCAAGCGAATTCTCTTGGCTTCAATGTTTCTTGCCTTCTGAAAAATAGTTAGTTTAAAATTGCTTTATCCTACCGTTTTTTTCAAGTGCTCAACCACCGCCCTCGCCAGTTCGGCACTGTCCTTTCTTTCTCGTTTTGGGTGGGGTTTCTTGTAAATGACATAGTCGTCACCACTTTGGTCACCGCTTTGGTCCTTCTGATCCGTAGACACGTCTCCAGAAAATTTGTCATCACTTTCAGCACGATCTGGTATATTTGCTTCCGGAATGCGTATTTTAGCTTTCGAGTCCTAAAATTTTAAGGATATATTACCTACTTGAATCAAGATCAATATTAGGTTTAAAAATACCACTGTAATATCAAAAAACTCACGGCCGACGGAGCAGTACCAGTAGAACCAGTAACGTTACCAGGGGATTCAGCTGGTGTTGACCCAGTGCTCGGCGAGAATGGACTGATCTTAACCTGGGGTGGGGTTTCCCCCACACTAACCTTCTTCTTTCCATCCTTTGGCAGTTTATCTTGCCCTACAGGTACCGGTGAGTCGTTTCGTGCATTGACTTCACAAGTTTTGACAACATCCTGATCAGCTTCTTGATCTAGTGAAACAGATGCTCTTGAATCATTGGTGCGCTTGCGACGTTCTCTCCTCGTCTTTCTCCTCAATGCCATGGGTAAGACCATATCATCACATGCTGTGATTTCTGCTAAGGGTGATTCTCCAGTCGGAGGGGTTTGTTGATCCGCTGAGGAGGTCTTTTTGTCTGTTAAAGGAGTGGTTTGACCAGGTGAAGTTGTTGTTGGTCCACTTGTAGGGGTGATGTGATCAGTTGAAGGAGTGCTTGGTAGAGTTAACGGATTATTTTGACCGGGTGAAGTTGTTGTTAGGCCAGGTGAGGTTGTTGCCGGCCCGCTTGTGGGGGTAGTCTGGCCAGTTGAAGGGGTGAGAGGTCCAGTTTGACCAGGTGAAGTCGTGGTTGGACCACTTGTAGGGGTCATATGGTCAGTCGAAGGTGTACTTGGTAGAGTTAAAGGAGTGGTTTGGCCAGGTGAAGTTGTTGTTGCCCCAGGTGAAGTTGTTGTGGGTCCACTTGTAGGGGCCATAGGTGCGGTTGAAGGTGTTGTTCGTCCAGTTTGAGGAGTTGACAATGGACCGGGGGTGGTGATTGGAGACTGCGTATTCGAGGCGGCAGGTTTAACATTAGCTTGTCGATTAGCTAAAGTAACAGTCTGACCAGCTACCGTACCTTTTTTCTGATCTTCAGCGAATGGCTTAGCATCATGAACCTCGCCCTTGGATGGTTTCGGAACTTCTCCGGAGGCCTCCGAGCTCTTGTTGGTCTTCTTCTTTATCACTCGTTTGGGCGGTACCAACGGCGAGATGGGATGTTGATGGTCGGCAACGCTCGGTGAAAACCATCGTGCCTTTGGCTTGGGACGGGCGATCGGAGACCCCGCCTCTTCTTCCTGGGATTCGTTGCTCGGCGTCGCTTTCTTCGTAACTTTCTTTATGCTTGGAGCACGACCGCGAGGCTTGGCTGATCCTTGGGCTTCATCTTTCAGCTTTGAATCGGTGAATCCGCGGATTTTAAGTTTTGACTCCGTAGCCGCGGAAAATTGGCGTCTAGATGCCGTAGAATGCTTTCGAGGCTTCGGTTCAGCAGAAACTTGGGACGTTGACTCAGCAGCTCCAGGAACTTGAGGTTTCGCATCGTCGGCCGGTTTGTCCGTGGCGGTACATGGCTTCTCGGCATCCTTCGAAGACTCCTTTGTATCCGCCGAATCGCGCTTACGCATCGTCCCACTCTTCACACGTTTGGAACTCCGTTGTGGCGCACGGTCAGGCTTCGCGTTGTGATCAGCAACGCTGGGAGAAAACCACCGTCGAGGTTGACCACCAGGAGTATCGGAACCATTTTCAGGATTAGTTCCTTTTCCGCGCTTACCCCTTTCCAGACTCACGTTCGGCTCAGCCATGACGCACCAACACAGAACAAACGAAAAGTAACAAAATTAATGAAAAATAGGTTTGTGATTGGAATCATTTTGAAAGTTTTCGTGTAAAATGTAAAATTGAATAAAATCTTTACGTTTTATTTTTGGTTATAAAAATTTTTTTTAATTTTTCAAAAGTTTACAAGGGAAGTATGCTTAGTATACTTAATTAAGTACCCCAATTGTTGCAAGCCCTTTTCTGATGTTCCAGATAAAGTACGTTTTAACATTTAAAAATGTAGGTTCATTTAAAGGTTTCGATCAGTATATTAAAGAAAATTTGTTAAATGTCTAAATGCAAAAACGTTATAAGCTTGAAGCACAATGCCAATTTGGCAAAACAAAGGGCTAGAATCCCCACCCTAATTTTTCTTTATTTTTCATGCCAGTTTTTTGTTTATTTTCATTGCATTTCAAATTTTCATTTGTAATATTTAATAGTTTTAAATAGTAGTTATTGTTTCATTTCTTATTTTAAAGCCACTTCTTATTTTTTTTCTTCTTTTTCACCACTACCTCTATCATTTACAAGTTGTGTTTACTATTTAAACAATATATATCATTCCACATATATTCCAAAATTTAATTCTATCAAAAGTAGCGCTTTGGAAGCGGCGAAGACTGAGAGGAATATTAGAAAAAGGATATTATCGTAGCACTAATTAGTTATCATATCACATCCAGTGGAGATGTAAGACAATGTTAATTTTTAAAATTGAGAAGAGTTTAAAAATGACAAAGTATCAATTTTAACATAAAAACTGAGAAAAAAAGTCAGATTTAATACCTAAAATCGAAAAAAAGTCGACTTTGGTATCAAAAAGTGCTTAAAAACAATTTTAAACATTAAAATTGATAAAATGCCATTTTAACGTTACAAAACTAAGAAAAAGACCCTTATGAATTTGGAGAGATGAGAGAGACACTTTGATGACAATAATTATATTAATTATACCAGTATTCTGTACATCTAGACCTTTACATTAACATATCTCTAGTCGCAGCTCAGTCTTTTCGAGGCTTTTAGGTAACATTTTTGCAATGTGAAAACATGAAAAAATGCACAAAGTCTCGAGAAGATTCTGAAGCCTTCAGGGGAGTTGGGGCCTGTACAAAGTGCGTTATTATTAGGGGAGGGGTGTTTGAATATGGGGGAGAAGTTCAAGCTCTATTTTAGGTAATACTTATGATATTAAGCTCACTATGGCTATTATATTTGTATAGATGATATATATTAGCTAGATATATAACCTATCATATTTTATTGCCGTATTAATATTAACAGTATTAATATAGCTATGAAACCATATTATCATTGACTAATACCATTATCATAAGCTATATCAACTAAAAACCCACCTAGCAAACTCCTCGCTCCACCCACATCAAAACCCAGGATTTGGGTCCATAATTATAAGTTAAAGCAGCAAAATAAATAGAGGATTACTGTAACAGATTGAGAATCAAATTTTCCGATTATTAAACACTCTATACAATAACATCTACACCAACTTCTACCAATTCTAGATGCTACGGATCAATTACGAGTTCAGCAACCATGGGTTCTTCTCCACGGTGCAGCGAGTTCGGTCACCGTAGTCGTACAGTAACTCTTCGCCTACCTCAATATCCCTCAAGGCGAATAGACCGACACAGATGAAATGGCCAAAGTCTAGGACTTTGGGCCTTAAGTTTGGCCTCATAACTGAATGGTTCAATAGTCGTCCTTTGTATGGGGTTTCGGCCGTCGCATCCACACACATCCGCCTTTCTTGGTATTTGAAAAAGTACATGTACGAGCCTATACTCGGGTCTTTAGCGTATTCTGCTTCTCGTTTCACTGCTTCTGGGTAATCCACTAAGGGACCTGGAAATACAAACTTAGTATTTCATTTTTCAGATAAATATTAAGTTTTTAACTCTCAATTGGCCATAATTTCAATTAACAACCATTGAAAAAGCTAAAACCTCGTTGTTATTACCTAAAATACAAAAAAATTAAAATTTCCTGAACTTAACTGCCTTAAATCAGCTTCAAATCCAAAATATAAAAGTAAATAACTCCAAAGTAAAATAAGAACAAAATTACAAAAAGTGCTTACCTTTATATTCTACCACAAATTCTCCTCTGATAAACGGCCTCATGGCAATGAGCCCTCTCCCTTTCTCTCCACAAATTGAAACTTGTAAATACTGTTCATTGGCACCAGTTAATACCATTTCTTCCAATTGTCTCATGTTTTCCCTCTGAAAATTGAAGTGCTTAGCAAGGCTTTAATGTATCTGTTAATTTTCAATGAAAAAAGTTTTCTGGTTACAAAGTTTGTAGAATTCCATTTTTAAAACAAAATTTGAAATCTGCTTTGGCTGATATTTAAAACCCGATGGAAAGTTAAGTAATAAAGTTTTTTAAATTTGATGTCCTCTACAACAATATTATTTTTGAATTGATTACTTCTTGCAATTTCGTTATCAATTATGACGTTTCATTTCACTTCTTGATGCCTTTTTAATGTAAAGCAAGAAACAACTACGCAAAACAAACAAAACAAGAAACAGCTATCAAATCACAAGTTCAGAGAAACCAATTTCATTATAAAAACCACATTTTAACACTCCGAATTTGTTGGAAAATTCACGTAAACTACGGAAAATCGTTTCAAACATTTTATTTTTTAGGTATTACTCATTTAAAAAAAATGAATTTTGTTTTAACATTAAAAGCAGTTATATTAACACACTTTATGTACCTGGTTTTATAAACTGCCAAAGGTAAGCATAAATTAAAAAATTTAAATTATTTGTTAAAAAGTATAATGAATATTTTTTTACCAAAAAATAGCCATAAGCATCATTACAATATCGTTAAAATAGAAAAACAAATTATACATAGCCTTTTCGGTAAACATCACAAACAATACCACATTACAGCCTTGTTTATACAAACTTTAAAAGCTGTTTATTACCTAAAATTCAAAGAAAACAAACTAAAAACATACCTGAAGAGCTTTTCCAGTGATTCTGTTACTTTTCCTGACCGGGAAAAACTCTGTAATCTTGTGAGACCCATCTGCTTTGTCCGGCTTCTGAATCCTCGCCTTTTTGGGCTTCTGTTCTACATTCTGATTCTGCCTCCGCAATACCCTAGTCATTCTGTAGCTACTAACTGAAATTTCAACAATAACATCTTAAACTTGAAAAACAAATTTCATAAAAATCAAGATCGTTCCGACGATGAACAACAATAACAATACCACGAGATCTCGAGTAAAAGAGGAATGTTCCCCCCAACCCCCACTGTCCCAACGTTCTCGCACGGTGAAATAGAAGCAAAATAGCCTCGGAAGCGGAGAGAATGCAAAAGAAATACAGGCGTAAACAACGAGGGACTAACAAAAAAAGCTATCAAGGCCTCGAAAATCCGTTCTTTGCGAAAACCGGAGGGGAAGTGCCACCGAACAGAGATGCCGAGATGAAGAATAAGGTCGCCGTGGTTGTGGTCGGCGCCGTGGTGAAGAAGGAAGCACAAGATACGAAAAGAGAACGCAAGAGAAACGAAAAAAGACGCTTCAAAAACAAGCGCGATGCTGGTCGTTCTCTCCCGCCGCGAAAACAATTGAGCGCCAACTGAAGGGTGGTATTGTGAGACAAGTAAATTCTTAAATTTTTTTAAACAATTTTTAAGATTTTGGAGTTTTTTCGATGTATATAACTTTTTTTTACATAAAATTTTAGTAATTAATGTATTTTAGGTTGATGTAACATGTCAGAAAACGTGGCACCTGCTGGTAAAGTGAAATTTGCTTTTTTCAAACGTTTGCGGGCTAATTTCGAACGTGTTTTGTATGAAGCACAAGTCCCGAGGAATGGCTTACTCCCACAAATCTTGTTTGGTGCTGCAATGTACGCCGTAATTTATAATAGTGTTGTGTATTACATCAAAGGTCCAGAACATCCAATCAACAACTTTAGGTAAGCTTTTTTATATTTTTTTTTTTGCATTTTAGGTTATGAAACGGAATTTTTGTATATCACAATGCGCTGCAGTGGAAAATACAGAGCTAAATCAAAAAATGTGCACAATTGTTTTCGATGGTATAAGTAAACTTCACACCAATTCATAGCTAAATTAAACCGTTTCTTTGCAACTTTAATAATGTTGTTTTAGGTACCATCAATGGGAAAGTGAAGGTAAACTTCCTGCAGATGTGAAGGAAAAAGCTGATATTATCAGTAATGCGACACAAAAGAATGTAGATTCGATTCGTGAGCATGTTTTCTTCTGGCAAACGCAAGCTGATGACGCGTTTGATGAAAGGAGGCCGCCCTACCCAAAGTTTTAAAAAGATTGTTTTTGTTAGGATAGTTGTTGTACATTTTCTACATACATATTTGTTGGAGCTGCATTAAATTTGAAGAAAATTTTGCTTTTTAAATTTTTTTACATTAAACCATCTAGTACCATATTATTTTAGCAGCACCAATACCTATAGGTATACCTATAACAATAATGAATTCAACTAGCTTGAAAAAACTGATAAAACCATCAATATTTTAAATTTATTTACATTTTATGTACAATATTACAGTAGATTCATAGTTTGAGCTTTTTTACTCCATCCAGTGTTAAGCCTTATAAAGTACCGGTCGGAGTTTGATAGCATAGTGATATCTTGTTGTTGCATGAGACCATATTTGTGTTTCTTTTTAAATGGACCAAAGAAAAAGAATGCTGGATGCAGTTCGAAAGTCAGTAGAACTCCAGCTATCAGGCCATAAATGTTCCATAGCTAAAAGAAGGTTTATATTATTTTGGGTAACATTTTCTGGAAAACTCAAAAGTTTAAATATAATATGACATTTTTATAAGAGAAAATGTAAAATACTAAAGTCTTTTCACCTACCCCAAAATAAACCACCCTAGCATAGTAGGTATAATGTGTAAAATGTAATTTCCGAATGGTCAACGATGATACTGTAGCTACGAGTGCTATACTAAAGCCAATAGCGATGATACGAACCAAGAAAAGTAAAATTCGAATGTTTTCGAATATTTGATAGCGCATAGATAGGTTGTAGAAGGTTGATATGTTTTCGATGGACTGCCATTTCTGATTCAGAGCTATCAATATTAAGGTTGCGGCCAATGATAAAGTGTCTAATGATATGTAGATGGCATAAAGTAGGGTTAGGGATGCGTTCACTGGAAGGGTTACTGTTTTTTAGTAAATGTGTGATTGGCAAGTATGTATTATGATTGTAATGGTAAAGTTTTATTACACTTTTTTAAATTTTATGAAGATTATATTATCTATGTTCAGTTACATTGTCGTTGCTCAATTATATTATCCTGGTTTATGTGACCTCAAAAACGATTTTTAGCGCCAAAATTGGCCAAACCCATGCCGTTATGAAAAGGATGGCACAAATTAACCGCGCTTTTTTTGACATTGCAATATCATGTTGTATTTGGATCGGACTCATCCTTCTACACATGTTTCATGTTTAACTTACATAAATTATAACTAAATGACAATGAAAAGGCACAGAGTAAACTGAGAGGTACCAGAATATAACCAAGCTTTGATGAACTCGACTCGTAATTGTAGCTTCTGCGTGTAGCAATCGCTCTTTCTATGGTGAAGGCAATGAAGGTCAACCTGAAAAAAATATTTTCATTTTTGAAATTTTTTTAACAATACTTAAATTAGTGATTTGATAGGTTAGGATAGCGTAGGGTACTAGGGTAGGGTCGTGGAATGGCTAAGATATTGAAAGTTTTTAAAATTTGTTACCTAAAAATGTTAGGTCCAATTGATTCGAACATGTTCAAGACTTTGAAGAAGGTTTCTTTTTGCATTTCAAAGTTGTTGTAGGTTAACATGATTACTCGTATAATATTAGACGTTACTGTGCCTGTAGCAGACATGTAGCAACCAATTAGGAGGTTAAACAATAGTAGTCTGAAAAAGAAATAACATTAAAATTGCTAAATTTTTGCTTTGAAAAACCTCAAAAAATATTTTAAGAAATCTGTATATTTTGTTTGGAAAGAAAAATTGATTTTTTTAAAATTTAAGCTAAAAACACTAAATTTTAACTTACTTATGATTAATATGCAGATTCCGTGCCGTTTTCATTAATGCTAATGTTGCTATTACAGCCACAACCATGTGTATTAGGCCCAATACCAAGCTTATCAAGGTTATTGTGTACCTGTCGATCATCTTGGATAGTCTTTTATAGTATCACATAAAGTTTTACCTAAAAAATTAATTTTAAGTTTATGGATTTTCTTTGAAAAATAAAATTAATATGGTGCAAAAAGAATGACGAGAGTTGTAAAATACGTTGCAAGCAGTTGTAGTGGCAGTAAAACAACATATTTAATAAAATTAAAATTTTTGATGCAAAAATAATGGCGCGACAATAAATTTTGTAATTTAATAAGTAAGAGCTGACCTTGAACGCTGGATACGTTTTGATATATACATTGATATATACAATAACTGTCTATATGTATGATAAAAAAGAAAAACGAACAAAATATGGCATCAGTGTCGCCATAGGGCAGAACACGAAACTACAATTGTACCAAACAGGGTGTAGCAGGGCAAAAGGCATCAAAGCTCGTCAATACCCTGCCTTGTGTCCAAACCTGTATGGTATTCAAAAATACGTAATTAAACCCGTTTCGCGGTATCAAAAGCAATATCACATTTCAGGGGCGGGAGCAGGTACATAACGTACTATAATATGTATTGTGTTGCAAAAATAGTGTTAAACGTACTTAGACTATATAAACGGAAACTTGACATTATTTTATTTGATCGTTGGTATGATAAACTATATTGTAAGACAAATTTTGTTAAAGTCAACAAATGAATTCTCATATCTGATATCAAAGTCAATATTATTGTTACTATTATACTGGGTTATTTAAATAATAATGTGTCTTCTAACTCCAAAAATTTGCTTTGGAGAGGGGCACAGAATTATTTGAACAAGCTAACACTGATTTTACAAAAATCATCAATTGTAAAACTAGGAAGTAAAAAGCTGTATAACATCAAATAGCCTTTTTACAAATAATATTCATCCCCCCCCCCTTCCCATTCTTTCTTCTTCGTTTGCCCGCATCCTTGTAAATACATTCGGGACTACCCTACCTCGCTCTCAAAACAACTATCATTTACAGTATAATATACATACTACTAGAAAAATATGACCAAAACCATATAATTTCATAGTAATCACTAATTAGTGGTGCACCAACTGGTGAACAAACTTCGCCCTTATTATAATGTGTTATCTGAATTCGCCTGTCTAATACATCTCACCATTATTTTAATATACACACTTTTAGTACATTTTTGGAGAAATTAGTAGTTCGAATATTTGTATTATACTAGTTGGTGAGCGGGCTATGTACAGCAAAGTACAATTTTAAAAATATCTATGGTTCACTATATGATTTTGCAGAAAATATTGTACTTTAATGTATATGTTTAATACTCATAAAGATAACAAATTTTAAAACAAACTTATGCCAAGCCAATTTCAGTCTGGTCCAGCCTAACCGAGACGATTATATACTCAGTTGGTCTGGTATTAGCTTAACGTAGCTCAACGTATTCCACCTCAACCATAGCCCTTCTCTTTCTCAACTCATATCGCCCAAAAGCAAAGTCACTTTCTATATCATTACTACTATAAAATTCGACAATCGCATCTGTAAACAAGAAAAAACATGCAAAGTTTAGATTAAAAATCCAATTTATATACTACACGAATCCACATGACATTTCTAAATGCCCTGACTACATAGATTGAACAATAGCACAATATCATTTTATGACAAAGTAACAATTACAAATATTAAGAAAACGAATAATAAAAATGTTAGTACAATGTGACAAAAAACAATATATTGATATTGAATAACAAACAATAAAACAGATTCACGGAACATCAAAGTTTAATGTCGTAACAAAAAGTATATACGTAGAGTCCTAGAAGAAAAGGCAAGTTTTTAATCCAATGAAGAAATGTGTAAAAATGAAAGAAAAGTTAAACGTCACGGAATATTCATTATCTTAATGTTATTTTGAGCTTTTGAATTCATGTAGACTAGGTCGAGGATAGGCCTCTAGGCTAGGGCTCTGGGCTAGGGCTCTGGGCTAGGGCTCTGGGCTAGGACTCTGGGCTAGGGCTCTGGGCTCTGGGCTCTGGGCTCTGGGCTCTGGGCTCTGGGCTAGGGCTTTGGGCTAGGGATCTGGGCTGGAGCTCTGGGCTAGGGCTTTGGGCTACGGATCTGGGCTGGAGCTCTGGGCTAGGGCTTTGGGCTACGGATCTGGGCTAGGGCTCTGGGCTAGAACTCTGAGCTAGAGCTCTAGGTTATGGTTCTGGGCTAGGGCTCTAAGGGCTCTAGGCTAGAGCTACTGCTAGGGCTGGTTATAAATTCTAGGTTTTTTTAATATAACAATGAGACCTACTGTTTATATCAAAAATACTTCCAAACTATTAAATTTCTTACAAAACAAAAAACCAAAAAACACGTCCATTAAATTGCCGTGCCAAATCCTCGCGCTCCACCCTCCTGCTTCCAGAAATGTGTTTATTTATTTATCCAAATATAATATAACTCCACGGTTCTTTGAATCATTCTTTTGGTCATTTTAATATAGGCTAATGGCAGAAACGTTTTCTCCTTCTTTTTGTGCTATTTTTAAACATACATATAAAAGTGAATTTTATTATAAATTCAAAAAGATTTTTTTAGAATAACATCAATGCCATAACCTTCTCGTACGCACCATTTTTTTCGCATCTTAGCAGAATATTAATATACAGTGGAACCTCTAACCTCTATATAACGAACCCTCTGTATAACGAACAACTTTTGAATCCTCGGCTATCATTACACAGTCCATTTTAAACCTCTATAACGAACAAATTCTAATTCCCTTAGCGAAGGCGTTATATAGAGGTTTCACTGTACATTTCTTTTAAGAAAAAATAAGAAATCAATAGCTAAAATACGACTTTTAAGCAATTTTACAACTTTTATATTGAATAGGACAATCCATTATAGCCAAAAAATCATTCTCTTGCAAAAACTTTTATATTTTCCCCGTCTCTCTAGATAAACACATCCTACAATTAAGATATCTAATTTCCAAAATCAAAATAACTAAAGTATTAAAAACAAGGTACACTCCTGTATAATATATAAGGAAGCGCTCGGGGACTTGCAATTTGTTTGTTATAAAGGAGTTTCGTTATACAAGAGTTTTAAATGCACTGTGTAGTGGTAAACGGGGATTTAAAAGTTGTTCGTTATACGGAAGTTTTGTTATAGGGGAGTTCGTTATACAGGAATTCCACTGTAACCTTAAAATTATTGCCCAAAATGTATGTTACTTTAAATGAATAAAGCACAATAATATAGTAATTCCTGTTCAATATGAAAACTGTGCTTCAATTATTTATCACCAATGCTTATAAAAGCCTTTTGCCAATAGCCAAATTTATTTGTCATTTCTGGAAAGAAATAAACAATTATGCCTTCCGGGCAAAGAAAATTGTTACTTTTTCAACATTCTAAAAATTTTTTTGTTGAAAATAAAATATTATAGATGATGTGCATGTTTAATATTTTAAAAACCAAAAAAAAAGATTTTTTAGCATTGAATTTTAGTTTTGTAAAATACGGAGAAATCTAGGTGGTGACACTATAATTATAGTAAAGTAGAACCATAACAAATCAATCGGGATTTTAGATTTGTTCGTTATGAAAAAGTTTTGGTAATTTTGGTATAGGGATGTTTCAAGTGCACTGTGTAGTAGATATGTATAATGTATAAATCGTCAAAGCATAAAGCACCAAAAAAAGACGTAAAATATGTGAGGATCAAATTACAGCTTAAAATAGTATATCTGAAATGAAAGAAACTCCAAGTTGTTTAGTTTCTATCAGACAACAACTCCCTGGAGAATCAAAAATAAGATTACAAGTACGTTCTAGACGTTTCTTGGTGTTTCAACGCATACATTTATATTGTACATGAATATTTATCAAACATTCAAACATCTTTTGTTATATAAAAATAAGAATAAAAAATTTTACAAATTTCAATTTACATCTACTAAAAAACCGTTTACTCCCCCTCCTGAACGCTTTTTGATACCCCCCCCCCCCCCTCCCCCTAAATTCTAATCAAACCACCCATTCAGAACTGGTATCAATGCAAAATGTACCCGAAAAATCGACTGGTAAACAAAGAAAGCCACGTATAAAGTAATAAAATAAAAAACCAATACACGTGTTCTGGTTTTACGTACTTGAGGGAAAAAAGAACACCAACCTTCTGTGCAAACATGATCCTCAATTTTGGATTCAGATATTGCTGTTTCAAGGAGGCTTTGTCAAGTGGCATTTTTTTAAAAAAGACAATTAGATTCGAAGTTCATTTTTTATAGACTTTTCTTGAAAGATGATGAAGTATCATACTGTAGAGTCATAATGTAGAATCATACTCTATAATCATACTGTAGGGTCATAATGTATAATTTAAAAATATACTGTAAAATAACACGGTTGAAGCATACTGTAAAATCATACTTCGGAATCATACTGTAGAATAATACAGTAAAAGAATACTGTAGAATCTCAATTTAAGTTTATTGTAAGATCATATTGCAAGACTACTGTAGATTCGTAATGTATAGCGCATAAAACTATTGTAAACAAGAGCTTACCTACCCATTACCTTGCCTACAACAAGAGTCTACTAACGTAATTACAAGCAAATGTAGTGTCTGAAGCGAAACCCAAGAAAGAATAATAAACAAACACAACCTAGATTAAGGTGCAGACGTGACATTTAACAAAGCTTGTTTACAGTGACGATAAGACCAAATGTTGGGTTATCTCATAGCACATCATTAAGCTTAACCACGTTAATTTTTAAAGACTGAAAAACAGCTGAAAATAGAAGCCATTGCCATTTTTAAAAGGTTTAACTCTACCCTGTACATCTTTTTTTAATTAACCGAAACTAAGGTATAAGTCCATCACCTAGAACTAAAAGAAAACCCACTAGTTTTGGCCCTTCTAGACTAACCTTCAAAAGCTTAAAAGACGAAACCTGTGTTATTACCATAAGATACGGTTATATTGAGGTAATAAAAATTTCGCAGTTAATTACCGCGTCAACCGTGTTGTTTCATAACTTTTTATTAGCTTACAATACGTTTAAACATAACGCCAATGTTGCTATTGTTTTTGTCATCAAATTATTGGCTCATATCATTGACAGCTCGCCATAAGTCTATGTTATCATAGAAAGTGCCCAAAATTAAAAACTTATCAAAAAACCTTGTAAATTTAATTGAATCATGTTCCAAAGATGTTATATTAGCAATATTTACTATAAATAAAGCACAAATATATCACAGGCATGCTCAATAATTAAAAATAACAATAAGTTACATATTAATGATAAACAATATAAATTAAAACACAAGCTATTGCCATTTTTAAAAGGTTTAACTCTACCCTGTACATCTTTTTTTAGTTAACCGAAACTAAGGTATAAGTCCATCACCTAGAACTGAAAGAAAACCCACTAGTTTTGGCCCTTCTAGACTAACCTTCAAAAGCTTAAAAGACGAAACCTCCTCCACTCCTATCCCTATTCAAAAAAATTGCAAAAGAAGGTGATACTGACACACCCTGTTGTAAAAATAAACCCTTAAATATATGTTATGATGTTATATTAGACTATATAAAAAAAAAAAAAAAATATTGTCTGTCTACGTGACTTTTTCCTCTACAAGTCGGTATTTAAGTCAGTACAAAGTTACTATTATAGACGTCTATTCAGTTGAACCTTTGTTCTAAGTTTTAACATAAGAAAGCAAAATATCGTCCACCCTCTCCCACCTCCACCTTTTTCAACCCTACCCCCATTGATCATTGCTCCACCCATATATCATACCGTATTATTAGCCTACAATGTCTGGTCCTTTTCTAACCCTTCAATTCCTTCATCAACTTTCAATTAATATCTTCCTCAAATAGTCTGCACATCCTCTCATACACTATATTATTTACCACTTTCTACGTAGACTGCACTTCTGAGGTTTGCCATACTCTGTTTATGTTTTTCCCAGCCTTCAGAAGTGCTTTTGAAATTCTTCAAAAATATCCAAATTTCAAAAAAAAATGCAAAGTGCGTACTCATTTTGAGCTTTTTCAATCATAGAATTAATACTGTAGATAATGATAGTTAACATGTATGTCAATAAAGTAAGTTTCTGATTGGTAGATACTGTAATTTTTGCAGCAATACCTTTGGTTTTATCATAAACTTTCAGCTATACATTTTCGTACTTTACAAAGCAAAATATTACTAAAAGACACATTTTTAAAGTTAATATAACTGCTAGTCCAAAACACATGACAAACTACAAAAACACTCTTATATGTCAATATTATTGTAGACTCTTATATACGTAGTTTGCCTAAGTGATATCATGGTCTGATGAAATAAAGTTTTGATGATTCTGCAAAAAACAGTATATCCCTAGCTCTAGTACTAACACATAAAACGGCAAACCAAGGTGCTTTGAAAACCGTAAAAAATAGATGACTAAAAGAAGCTGACCATTCAAATAGTGTTAAATTCCTTATTGAATCAATGCCTACAGGTTACACTTGAAAGAAGGTCTGCTAGGTCCAGACCGGACCCACTGGGACAAGACAAAAAAGATATTAAAGTGATGGGCCAGAACATGTAAGTTCAAGAGCTAAGGCCCTAACCAAGACTCAAGATCATTTAGAATAAACCACCCAAAAACTGACTATAAATTTCAAAAACTTAACCATAGACCTAGTTTACGTTCAACACTTTTCCAGGATTTAGTCATAAACAGTAAATGAATCGAACCGAATTTAATGAAGACTTCCCCCAAAGGCGGCCGAGAGCCTCTCGAAATCAATTTGGCCGTAATCCCTTTATTTCGGCTGTTTACTGCCAGGATAAGGCGAAAAGTAAATAAGCTTGAGATTCTGGAGAAACGTCGCCAAAAACAAAGAATATTTGTGTTTGTACCTACATAATTTGGGAGATATATTGATGTAGCTATTAATATAATGATAACAATTCCTTAAAAGTCTTTATAACAAAACAACTTAACTTCTGAATAGTAACATATACAGAAACGTAAACGCTTCAAACCTCAAAAATAAGAGTGCAAAAACATATCAACTAATGCCAAGTTTTGTTTTGAAAACATGATATTACTGTTAATTATACAGAATAACAGTATTTTACTTGAAATTCAAAAATTGTTGTGTTTAGGTTAAGTTACAGTACCAAACTGAGAAGTGCATTCAGAATAGATAAAAGTTCATCAATGAAACTACACTTATTGCACTTTAAGCCAAAATTTGGAATTGTTTACAAGCGAAATGTAAACAAATAGTAAGATAATATACCAAGAATTTTTGGGCGGAAGGTGAGCTGTGTTTACCTAAATTACTAAGCAGTACGGTATTTTAAACATCAATTCAAAAGATTGTAAGTAAAGAATTTTTCGACCTAAAGACTGATTAATAGTTTACCCATTTATTAAAACCTTTCTCATTTATCCTTTATTTTCAATAATTTACTTATCATAACATAACAGAGACCAATGTAAACAATAAAAAACATCAAAAAACTCTCTACTTGTTGGCATACTCAACACGAAGCGAGTTGTTTGGTGTTACCTTGAAGTTGTTCAGAGCCTTCTTCGCAGCCGTGGCCTCTTCTTCCGAATCGTATTCAACAAAAGCAATGTCTGGTCGTGCCGGTACCAACCGAATATCTTTGAGACCAGGAAAAGCGGCGAAATGAGTTCGAATCAATACTTCTGTCGTGTCGTCAGGTAGATTCTGGACGAACAAAATGTTGTGAGGCTGAGCTGCCGGTGCACCAGCCCTAGTCTTCTTTGGCTGATCGACTAGTCGCTTCTTCTTCTTTGGCACCGCAATATTCTTCCTTTCTCTAAAAATAAGATTCTATTACCTGAAGAAATAGGTAATTTAACTTCTCACAAAATTTCACGTTTCTAGCTACCTTTCTAATGAAGTTATGGCAAGAATTATACTACACTCCATCTTCTTTTTGGAAGATCAATATAAATCCTAAAATTTAAACAAAAACAAAAATTTTATTTACGCTACCTTTCGACATATGTTCCTTTCGCCTTGGCAATCACATCAGAATCCTCTTTGGCGAATTGAATCCTCATTGGTTTGTCATAAAAAGGAAATCCCTGCATCGACCTCAACGCTGTAGCCGCGGCGTTAACTTCTTTAAAGATAATGTGAGATTGTCCTCGCATTTTCAAACTCTTGAACGACATAATGTCGATAATTTGTCCAAATTGCGAGAATATAGCGTACAATGCCTTCTTGAGCTCTAAATTTTGTTTAAATTAACAAAATTGACAAACTTACCATCTTTTTTGACCTTCTCATTGAGATTATTGACGTATAAAGTATGATTGGGCTTGATGTCAGCCATATTTGGTGGAGAAAACTTGAAGAATACGAGGTATGCGCTAAAAAATATAAATAAATTGCAAAAAAGCGCAAATGAAGGAAGGGAGCTCGCGTCCTTGCTTTGAGAGAAGATTTTCGCGAGCTGCGGGCTGCAAACGCATTTTATACTTTGAAACATGTTCACGTTTTTTTTTATTTTTGGAAGTACTATTTTGCAGAGTGTGAACATAAGCTTTTATACATTTTTACGTTTTTTTGGCTTTTTATTATTTTTTTTCATGTTTTATTATTTATATTATCTATGTTACTCATAACGTTCAAAATTTTAAACTTTATGCAAAACTTCTAGAATTCACGTTCTGTCCGGATATACGTTTCCGTTGACGTAAGAACTTATTAATATACCATTACAAAATACAGAGTACGTACTTCTGTATGTTAACCGAAAAGAGAGCATCAACAAGATTAAGTTTTGTCGTCTTTCCGGTCCGCTGACGTTGTTCATGCTATAAAAGGCGTGGAGATGAAGAGATTGGGGTATGGTACCTATTATTGTAATCTCTGCACCGAATATGAGTACGAAAGAAGTGGCGGACCATGGGACAAAGGCTAATGTTATCGTTGCGGTTCAGGCTTCGATTTTGCTTTGTTTTGCCATTGGAAGGTAGGTTACTGTAGTTTTTGGTAAAATACGTCCAGAAATTTGTTTTGGTTTGTACTTCAAATATGAACTTTAATCTTTGTATCAATTTTAAACCAATTTCATTCATTTACAGTAAAGATATACTTAAAAACAGTAAAGATATACCTAAAATAATATTATTTTTAATTTTTTAAAAGCCAAAAAAATTTTTTTTGTAAAAAAAATATTTCAGTATCATGAGCTGGAACGTTGTGATAATAACAATATCTGACCTTCACTTGGCTTTGGGATCAAGGTCGAATACGACTCAAGTTAAGGAAGATACCACTTATTTTCAAAGTGCTGGACTCAAAGTCTTTTATGACCCTGTACAACAAGGAATCTTGTATGCTGGTAAGTATAGTATACAGAATTGTAACCTCGATTTAATAAAAGAAAATTTTAGATTTTAAGGCAGGGAAACTTAAAGTAGTACAGTAAATTATTATAATATAGCACAGTATAGTACTAAGCACTACTACTTGTAAAAAAAGTAAATTTTTTTAAATTTGTGGTATTTAGTGCCTATAAATAGCATTAAAATTTAGAAATTTTTGTTTTTGAGTGCTTAGTACTATATAGGACCGAACAAACAAAAATTTTTTTTGTTTTATAGTGCTATTCTGTACCAGTTAGCATTAAAATATCTAAAAGCTTTAATGTTAGATATTTGTGTTTTACAAGGTGCTATTCAGTACTGAAAACACAAAAATTTAATTTTTAGTACTATATAGTACCAAAAAACCAAAAAAATATTTTTGATGTTATATAGTACCAGCTAGTAATAAAAAACAAAAAAAAGTTTAATATTAGATATTTCTGGTTTTTTAGGTACTATTCGGTACTAAAAACATAAAAATTTTGATTATTTTAATTTGGTACTATTTACTATAATTGGTACTAAATTAACAATAATTTCATATTTGTATAATACTATTCTTTACTATAATCGACACAACTTTGCAGCCCCCCTAGTCAGCGGCCTAATCTTTGCCTATCCCATTCAACGCTGCCTTTGCCAATATCATGCTCGCTTTGTCTACAGTATAATCACAGCTGTCAGTATCGTATCAACAGCTGTTCATCCCTTAATGTTACCTGAAAACTTTTACTTGGTAGTACTTGTAAGACTAGTACAAGGTGTTGTGTTTGCTTTGGTCTTCCCTACCATTGCCTACTTCATAACATACTGGTCGACTTTGGCCGAGAATACGGTGTTTATGAGTATTTTTATGGGAGTAGCACAACTGTCGGGTTTACTGAGTATTCCGTTGAGCAGTTACTTTGTTAAACATTACGGATGGCCATTGGCTTTCTATGCTCATGCTGGAATCACTGGGTTGTTTTGGCTGATATGGACTTTTAATTACCGGTAGGTTTGAAGTTGTATTTGAATTTTAAGATTTGAAAAGTTAAGGTATGTAGGTAAAGTAAGGCTTGGTATAGTAAAAACCAGGGTCCTCAAGCCTTCTAACCGTCACTTTTTTCAGTGAAAACACAGTATTCAGCAGAGCAAACCTAGCTAGAACAAAGCTATCATTCTCAACTATGGCCTACCATCTTCGTCAGACCAATACCTGGGCAGTACTATTTGCCACAGCTGCTAATTGTACTCTAGTAGTGTTTGTAGTCCAATTCTTACAGTTATTCTTAATGTCAGCTCACGGAGTTCGAATGCAAAACGCCGGAGTCATCGTTGGTGGTCTTATAGCTTCGCAGGTAAGACAATATCCGATATATTGGTCATTAAGTAGGGTTGAAATTGAATTTTTATTAATTTTGATAAATTTAAGTTTGAAAATTAATATAACGTATTTTACTGTACTCTACCAAATTTTACATTTTCAGTTTTTTGTAAAAGTCATATCCGGCTTTTTGGTCCAAAAGATGACGTTCATGCCATTATCGTGGCGAATTCGCTTTTTCAATTCCATAGCCTTCTTTGCACCAGCAGCACTATTAGTCTGGGATGCGACAGGGCTGAAGAGTGACCAAGCTAAATTGCTTAGTATTTTATTGGTCTTTGTGGTTGGCGGATTCAATGCCGGAGGGTTTTTGAAATCGCCAGCTTTTATTCAACAAGGCGCTTGGATCGTTGGGGCTGTTCATGTAAGTTTCTATACCATTTTTGGACATCCTTTTTGATAAAAAATGTAAAAATTTGATTATATAAGGTTTTTGTAGAAAACTTTGAATTTTGGACGAAATGTCACAAAGTTATTGGAAAAAAAGACGAAGTGTCACAAAATTATCGGTTTCTATTTTTTTGCCAAAATCAATTTTAAAGTTAATTAGTTGACAGGTATAACTCATAATATATAAATTTAGGCAGTAAACGCTCTTGTAAGTATTACTTTCTCCATGGTCGTACCAATTCTAGCTCCAAACGGCTCATTCCACGAATTTCATTTTTGTTTTGTGATTGTTGCCACAGCACTAACCGTTGGCAATATTTTATTCTGTTTGCTAAGCCGTGCTGGTGAACCTAATCATACTGCAAGTATGCTAACGATCTCAACTATAGCACCGTTTGGAGATTTTTAAAGGAGTTTCGACTCTTTGTCATCGGTAATATAGGTTTGAGGTGCGATATATTGCTTTGTAAAAGTTGGATTGCACTGAAATTTTGTGGGATGTTACATTATACTATGCGTTATATTTGTGCAAAAAATCAAGTCTTGTCTTTAAATTTTGAAAAAGATATGAGCATCAAAGCTATATTATCCATGAAATTTTTGATCTTTTTGATATTTTTAATTTTTTCAACATCTAAAACTTGTCTTTCTGATATCTAATCCATATTATTTTATTCCTTATTAATTTTTTGTTGTAATTAATATAAAACGTCATCTGTTTTGATCCAATTTTAATGCAAACCCGGCTGATATTATGATAGAAGTGTCTTTATTATAATTTAGATTTGAAATGAACATATATACAAAACCATAAGAGAGTAGTAACCGTTGCTATGATATATACGGAATTCTGTTGTGTTTCATTAATATAGACCTGGATATTGGTGTGAAATGTAATGTCAAAATGGCAACATGGATCTTTTCTGGGTTTTGGCTTTTTTCGGCTAAAAACTTAATTTAGGCCTTTTAAAGGTGTTATAAAAGCGTAAAATTTAACTTTTAAACTTGTTTTTGTTACTAATTTCATAAAATTTTAGTTTTCTAAAGAATGAACTTTAAAAAAGATAAAAAATCAAAAATATATTACCCATGGTGCCTATGATAACATTACCAGCAGTTATAACCGAGATTGAGTAAAACCTGAGCAAGAAAGACCATGAATGAGAATTTTAGGTAATTGGACAAAAAAGATTTTTCAATTTCAAAAAAAAAAATTCTTTTGCACGGCGCAATCATTAAATATGACTGCACTGTGCAGATCTTATAGGGTAAAGGTGATAATGCCATTGTTAAGCTGACAAAGTGAAAAAATATTAAAAAAATAAAAAAATCTTACAAAATAAAACAATATTAATATCTAAAAAGCAAAAAGATCAAAGTTTGTACTTAAAAACAATAAAATACAATTTAAAATTACCTAAAACAATATCAATTGATACCTAAAAATATAGAAATGATAAGAAATCTTAATTGATAACCAAGTAAAAGCTCCAATAAAAGATATTGAAGATGATGAAGACTAATGGGAACGCGTATCGACAGTTCTCATCAATCTTGTTGGCCACTCGGCGGCCGCGCAGGTTGCACAGTGCACTTTTCCAGTTTAGGGCGCGGGTTTTGACCTAGAATTGGATGGTTTAGCTTGCTTTTTTAAATTTAGGCAAAACTGGGTTTCATTTTTATCTTTCTATGTAGTTTTGGACCAAAAAACATAGGATTTTTGCAATTAAAAAGGCTTAAAAAAGTCTTGTCTTTTTTTACTATTCAAGCTAATATAAATTAACGACAAAACTTTTGTGCCGCTTTAATATTTACTATTTTGCACTGCCAATACTATAAATAAGCTTTGTGTTGATCGCAATTCTTTCAGACGCCTCATTAATAACACTTTCTTATCAGTAATTTTTCGAAACTTCCTCTTTTGTGACATTTCTCAACTTGACTTATGTCCTTAATTTCTCAAACGTGTATGTTTGTTTGTCGAACGCCCTCAGGCGATAAAAAACGGATTTTCGAATTGCAAAAAGTGATTAAAATCACCTGTCTGGTTGAATTTGCTTTTGACGTAAATGAAAAAGTGAAAAAAGGCCAATGAAGATGAAAAAAGGCCATTGAAAGTGAAAAAAGTGATTCAAAATAAAAAAAAGTGATTAAAAAGTAGTTGAACTGTCAGATCAAGCCGCTTCTTCGCACTTTAATTAGGCGCTAATTGGAATTTAATTTTATTGCATTTTGAAACAAACGTGTCAAGTACAGTATCCGGCTGGTGCTACGAAAAGGCCGGAGTTTTATTTCCTTGTTTTTGAGCTGTAAATTTTGGGTGAGAAAAGGTCGAGTTTAAGGTGTTCTAGCAAAAAACAAGGTCAATTCTAAGGTGTTCTAACAACAGAAAAGGTCAATTTTAAAGTATTCTAACGCACTTAAGAGATCTAAAAGCTTAAGTTTAAAGCACGGCTTATATCTTAAAAAACTAAGTTTTAACTAGCCTAAGTTCACTCAATTTAAGCTTATTTAGCCTATTCTTCAACTAAGCATTGGCTTTAGAAGCCCTGATCTTTCAGGTCTTAGCCTATGAAGCCTAATCCTTAAAAAGGTTGGCGTCAAAGCCTACAAATCCTAAGCCAAAAGCAAAAATTTTAAAATTTGCCAAAAAGGTCAATAAAAGGTCAATTTACCTGATTCCCCAACCTGCTCATAGCCGGCTTCATACTATGTTTCTCTTCTGTCAACTGTAGTGTATCCAGCGAGTTCATCCCAGGATACACTTGATCGTGTAGCCCATTCAGCCTCGCGTCTCCATTCTGATGTCCATACGAATTCAGTTGTTTTAGCATTGGCTCCATGTCCATTGGCATAGGCTGTATCGTGTGTATATCTTGTTCGTCCGGCCTCAACGTCCGGCCGTTCCGCGCTGGCACGGTGGGTGGATTCATGTTTCGGAAGAAGCGATCCCTGGCTTCAGCGTTGTTCTCCTTGACTCGTCTGATTGAGTCGTTTAGGTTGGAAGAGGTGTCAAATAGGGTTGACATCGTTGAATCTACTATAAGATTGGGGGCGTTTGCATTGCCAATACTTAGCTCTTGGTTCTTGGCAAAGTGACATATTGTGAATTCGATCATAACACCGAACACGAACGTCATACACATGCCTAGCCAGAAGTCGATGGCCTGGAAATGATTTTTTTAACGTAGGATAAGTTAAAGTAATGTAGGGTATGGTAAGTTAGGGTAGGATAAAGTACAAAAGAGTACGTTAAGTTAGGGTAGGGTAGAATGGGGTATATTATGGCAGTGTAGAGTAAGGTAGGGCTTATTTTTCAAATCTTACCTTCATATAAGACACTTCTGGCAATGCCAACTTGACAGCATTGGCTTGTGTGGCTATTGTGAGCAGCTGAAACACAGAATGCCAAATATACTTTGTTATTAAAGTAGTAATTCAAAATTTTGAAATTTCTAAACCACAACTCTACAAACCTCAATCTTCCCAAAACTTACTGTAGTAATGCTCAACGACACCCTAGCAGGAGCTGAGTCAATATCAAGCCAGAAGTTGAACCATGATATCACTACAATCAATGCCGTAGGTACATATGTTTGTATAATGTGATGCATCATCTCTCTTTCCACGTAGAATACTGCTGTCATACAACTCCACTTTCCTGTAGCGTATGTGCCATCACATGTACCCGTTTTAATATCAACCAACCTCATATCTGGCATTCTGATACCGGCAGCTCGGTCGATTGGAGGGTCGATTGAAGTTGACCAAAGTAGACGGACTTGGGATTCTGGATAGGCATCTGGAATGGGGTATGATGAAGATAAGGGATTGTATTGAAAGGGCTAGGCCTCTGGGCTAGAGCTCTGAGCTAGGGCTCTGGGCTAGGGCTCTGGGCTCCGTGCTAGGGATCTGGGCTAGGGCTAGGTAAGCCATAAAACAAAGTTCTTTCAAAATAGACTTACATGACAATATCCTGAGGTTACATTGCTGCTCATCCAGTGGGTATTTCCTACAATATATTATGATATACTACAATATATCAGCTTTTTTAGTGATTTTTCAACTTTTTTTTAAAATTTTAAATAGAAAACCGACTGAACAAGATAAAAATGAATAGAATAACTCACCATAAGTCCATCATACAAATAGCGATAAGTGAAATACGACAGTCGTACCAAACATGACCGTCCGGATAAACCCATACCAAAAAGTTGTCCTCTGTTATGGAATGAAAACTCGCGTATCTAGCTGAAAAGTTATTTAAATTTTATTGAAAATCGAAAAATACGTTGAGAATGTGCAGTACAAATTCATTTTTATACCTATTTAGAGAGGTAGCTTCCTAAGAAATCAGAGATTTCAAAAAATTATATTATCCATGAGGCCTATGACACGTTAGTTGACTTTTATAAACAAAACTAATCAAAACTAAGCAAACTCTGGGTAAAAAGGCCAAAAATTGGAGTTTTAGGTAATATTCGTCTAAAAAATTTAAAAAAAATTTTTGAGAATAAACCAGCCGGACAGTAGGGGTGGAAAGGTTCGAACAATAATTATAAAACTCACCATTAGCAAAATACGCATCAGGATGCCACATTTTCTTGAAGATATTCTTGTCTCGTATTAACATTGGTCCACTTTCATTGTGTGCCAGTCGTGGGTCGTCCCATTCCTATAATTTTTCAAATTTTAAATTAAAAAAAATTATTTTGCAAGGATAAAGCATGGTGGGCAGAGCAAAACTAACAAGAAATAAGGCTAAAGCAAGGGTAAAGCAAGAATAGAGCACGGATTGGAAAAGGGTAGTGCAAGAGTAGGGTAAAAGCAGGACAAGAGTAGAGTAAGGAAGGATAAGGTAGAGCATGAAAATTTTAAAATAAAATTAAAAAAATTTCTAAAAATGTAAAAAACTGCCATGCCCACCTGATAAAAGTACATATCCAGATGATAATCCATGGTTTGAGCCGAGAAACTCGAAATACCTTCGATATACATTGACATACTAACATTCGTCGCCGTGCCCTCGTACTGTGTTGGCGTGGCGTAGCGATTGTAGCGATCGATATCGTCTAGCATTTTGACGAAATCTCGAGTCAATGGAAAGAACTCGACGTCTTCCGCTCTGAGGGCAGCAATCAACAACAACAAAAGCAACCACAGCATCACCCTTTCGATAGGTTTAGTAGACTATCATTACTGTCGAGGGCAGGGGGTTATAGTGATGTCATTTGAGTAGTAGATGAGCTGTTGATTTGAAGTCTGGGTATAGGATTGGCAGCAAAACTTGTAGTGTAGTAGTGTATTATTGGCTGCTTTGATGAAAGTTGAGATACCTGTATGCTAAGGTAGGTTCTGCAATTTTAAATATATTTTTTTGAATCACGGGTGGGATTAGAATTGGAGATATATAATAGCTAGAGATAAGGAGATTGCGATAAAAAACACGTAAAACTACAAAGAAAAACGCAAAGTAAATGACCACGGTAGAAAAAAAGTGAATATAAAAAAATTCAGAGAAACGCCATCATATAGGGTGCGCCAAAAGTTCTGTTACAAAACTTTACCGGCCGTTTTCTCTATGTTGCGGTTAAGCGGTTGAACTGTTTAAAATTTTTTACTTTAGCTTATTCTCCGTGTTTTTTTATTGTATAATCATGTAAAAGACACTTCTATAACAAAATTTCTTTATAATAAATGTAAGACACCCTTCCAAAAATCAAAAAAAAAATTTAAACCAGTCTATCAAACCAAGCAAAATAAAAAAGCCTTCATAACATAGCTGTTTATTGCCCAAATTACTGAGATGATTAATATAGCCAGGAAAGAAAAATATTTTTTTTATACTCGGCAAGCAAATGCGTATAATACTAAAGACGGAAGTTGTATTATCTTCTTCATAAATAAGAAAGAAGTAATATTGTGCTTATTTGCTTATTATCAGTACTGTTAAGATTGTAAGTCTATCATAAATATATTGTAATTAGCTTTGGCGGAAGTAATCTTCTTTATGTCTGCTATAAGGCTTCTTATAATCATGATGACGGTAGTGAGGGTCTGGTTTGTAGGGTAGTGTAAGATAAAATAAGATACGGTGGGGTAAAGTAGAGTAGAAAAAGTTAGGGTAGAACTGGGGTAAGCCTAGACTAGGGCTATGGTGGGGTAGGACATGGGTGGAGCACAGTTAAGGCAAGGATAGAACAAAAGTTTTCTTTTGAAAAAAGTTGTAAGGCTTACAAAATTTTTAAAAAATTAAAAAAAATTTTTACCACTCCCCCTTCCTCAAAAAAAACAAAAGCACTGCTCGTCACTGCTCACAGTAATAAAATATTCCCAGTAAAAACCCAAAAGTAGGCTCTAATAAGTTTTGGTCAGCGTGCAAATTCACGCTTGGACGCCGTGTCGAGTGGGAGAATTAGCACGGTAGAAAGAAATCCTGAAAGGATAATGTGTAAAATTTGAATTGTAAATGCGATGTTGCTATACGTGGAAACAAGGTCAAAGAGTCGAAATAAAAAACTACATAGAAGCATGAAGGAAGAGGGTTATTTTTAGAGTCATTAATTTGATTTGGATAGGGTAGAATATAATAGAGTAAAGTAAGGTATAACAGGGTTGCACGAAATTGTGGAAGAGGTAATGCCCGACATGAGCAAAGTCATAAAGGTAGAGAAAGGCCATGTTCAAGGTAACGGAAGGCATAATTAGGTAACGATAGGAAGGGTAAAGCAAAATAAAGCAAGATAGAAATGGTAGGCTAGGTCGAGGTAGGGTAGGATAGGGTAGGGTAGAATAGGGTAGGGTAGGGTAGGATCGGGTAGGGTAGGGTAGGGTAGGGTAGGGTAGGGTAGGGTAGGGTAGGGTAGGGTAGGGTAGGGTAGGGTAGGGTAAGCTAAGGTAGGATAATTTAAGATCAGGTAACATAAGGTAATGTAGTACTATTACTATTCAAAACCCCCTACTCCAAGGTGAAAACTCTAAATCAAAGTTTTAACAAATCGAATCGAATAACAATATTTTTTCCGAATCAAACGCCCCGAGGCGGGGTTTTGTTGTTAATTGGCACAAGCAATTTAATGGCCTTTCAGGTTAAAGCGTCGTTAAACATGGGCTTTCAGGAAGAGTTAAGTAGTGGGTCATAAGTCCCCGGAACAGCTCGTAAAAGTAGATGACGCTGAGTTGGGGGTGGATTTTGGACATTTTGGGCCCTATTTAGTACCAAAATAGGTTTAGAAACTTGGGGTTTAGAAACCAGAAATAATTTTTTTTTAAATTTTAAATAATGAAAAAAAAATTCTGGCCAAAAATTCAAAAAGTGCAAAAAAATTTTTTTAGGTATTAAAATGAGTGACAGTTTTTATAACCGTATGAAATTAACAAAGCATCAGACGTTCCAAGAAGTCTCGTCATATAGCAAACCCAATGGCCCATAAATCCCTACTTATGTCTTTTCAGTGTTCAAACTTCAAAACGAACCGTTTTAAACACAAAAAAATGACATTTTAAAAATTTAACGAGTTCTAAATTAGTCGTAAAATTGTGTTTTAACATTCTTGAATTTAACGAAGGTAAGTGCTGTAGTGTAGGCTTATTATGGTACCACACTAAAGAGGTAATGCTGAGATAGGGTTAAAAAAGAGCTAGTTTAAAGTTGGTGTAGACCTAGAGCTAAAGCTTAATTGAAGCTAGAATAAAGCTAAAGTAGGGTTGAACATGAAACTAACATAAGGCTAGGGTAACCCTAAAGCGAAGGCTAGAACAAAGCTGAAGGAAGGCTAGGGCTAAAGCTAGAATAAGGTTGAGCTAAGGTCATGGCTAAGGCTATAAGGCTAGGGTAGGACTAGGTTTAAAGCAAAAAGAATACGGCTAAAGTAAGGTTAGAGCAAAGACTAAAATACGGCTGGGGTAGAGCTATGGCTACGGATAGAATAAGGTTAGGATAGGGGCTAATCTTTGAAAGACCAAAACCATTAAAACCTCCTCTCCACACTCCCCAAATGTAATACATAACTCAAACCAAACGAATACAAACCAAAGTTTCGATGCCATGATCTATCTTCAATTGCGACGGCCGACAAAAATCACTTATGTCCACACCTGTTCGGCCGCTGACACGAATATAACAAGCAAAAAACGATAGAAACATGTCACTTAAAGTGGAAGGAACTAACATTTCTAACACGTACTTTTGTTTTTACTTCGACGTACTTTTGGGTACAGACTGATGAACTTGAGGTGGTTATAGGGTAGGATTGGAGTAGGAATAAGGAAAGGTTAAGGTATAGCAAAGACCGGAATAAGATGGAGCTAAAGCAGGGCTAGCGTATGGATAAGGTAAGGCATGAATAAAGGCAGAAGTAGATTAAGGCACAAGGTTGACTTAGTTAGAGCTTAAGTAGAGCTATGATAAGGCTGGGTACGGAAGGTAATGATGTTTAAGAAAGAGCTGAAGCTAAGATGAAGTCAAAGTAAGTTTAGAGTAAGACCTGACTACAGGAGCTAACTACATGAACTTAAAGTGCCAAAAATAAGTCTTTTTGCCACATTTTTAATATTATAATACTATAAACAACATGTTCAGGTGCAAAAGCGCTATAAAAATTTTGTGCAGTTGTACCACGAAAGTGCAATAAAATTACAAAAAATTATACTATTTTAGAAGTAAGAATGTATATTGCAATAGCAAAATCATAAAACAACTCAAGAGGCTATTTACTATTGGCAATATATAATAGCAAAAGCTTAAGATTTTGTTACAAAACTTTTTCATAAATTTGTGACAAAAACAAACTTAATCCGGATTTACTGTAGTAATTAGATAAATATGATAGATCTCTGAAATGATTCAAAGAATGTAACCACTTATAAGCAAAAAGTAGACAGTAATAAAATTATTGCAGAAAAGGCGTGAAAATAACTAATCACTTTACAAACAACAGTAATACAATAAGATAAATCAAATTAACTAATGTCAAGATTAAAAAGCTAACCAGTTTTAGCACTAATAAGTGACTGTACAAATACAACTTTAGTAATGGTGTGACTGTTAACACTGTTAGCTAAAATAGTAAAAAAACACTTATTATAAACTGGCCTGTAAAAGAAAGCCGTCAGACCCAAATTTTCGACCCGGTCTACACAAACCAACCCGAACTGTCACCTTTAAAAGTTTCTTTGGCCAGGGCCAACTCGAAGCTAGGTTAGTTCTTGTGGGCTCTCTTTCAGGTCTAGTTAGGACTAAAACTAAGGTAATTCTAAGGCGGTCCTCAGGCTTGCATGTGCCTTCATTTGCTTTAGGGCCAATTCTACTAGGTGTCTTTTCAGGTCTAACTAAAATAACCGTTAACATTATAAAAATTAAAAAACTAGCCTTTATTGAAAATTTAAGTGAACGTTACCTTAGTAGTCAAAATACTACACAAATTTTATCAAACATAATATTGTTGGTCTACTCCAGGGTAACAAATCTGAATAACAAGTAACAAACTAGAGTCCAAGACATTTTTTGCACGGAAATGTCTATAAAGCCGTATTATACCTTCTCTATAATCGGTGAGCTCAAAATTGGTTTTCTGAATTCTATTGTTAGGCTTTTATGATATCATAGTAGCTATTACCACCCTCACATAAAACATATGCTCGAAATGAAACAATGAGTAACTTTTTTTATATTATATTCCATAAAATAACTTATTTTTGATTACTAATGTTAATCATCAATTATGAGATGGATATTTGAACCCACTTAAGTTTTAATTATTACCTAATTATCTGCACCCCTACGCTTGCCACCTTCTATTTTTTTCACCGCCCTGCCCATAGTAACCTCAATATAAATGTAACAACATACATAACATCACCTTACTTTTTAATTGAAAAATCTGAAAATGACAATTTGCGCCTACTTTCCCCACACAAACTCCCTGAGGGCTTTAAATATTATTGAAAATGTTCTGACCGACCAATTTTAATCAAACCGCCGCCTAAGGGCATTCGTATAAAAGTATCAAACATTTTGCAAAACTTTGACGAGTTTAGATAATACTGTTTTAAAATAGATGTAGAGTACGGTAGTACTGTCACAAGTTTGATAGGTTTGATGATGAGTTACAGTGTTATGTCAGTAGAGAAAGTAAAATGAAAACATTGAAATCTGTATTAACATT